AAATTCAGACTGAGATTCCACAGATAAAAGAGCACTCACAACAGAGTGCATCCCTGCAGACCATCGACAAGACACCAAAGGGAACTGTGGAAACTTTCAACACGCACAGCGTTGAGCCCCATGAACTCCAACACTCACTCCATGAAACAGCTGTTACTGTCTTCCAGAATGACTTTGCTCAAACTCAGCTGGTAACAGCCCTGATGACAAACCTGCTGCAGGGGGGTGAACTCCTCCATCGACAGCCTCGCCATGCGTAGAGTTCCACCGCACCTGATACCCTTAGGCCTCATGCAAACCGTGCTGGCTTCCGCCATCACCATGCCAACTGACTCTCTACAAATACACCATGTCAGATTGTGAAAGGTAACACTCACATCAAGATCCGCACGCCATACGTGATTGCCTTACACGACAGCGACACTAAGCTGTCCCTAGCTCCGAATCCACACATGTGCACATTGACCAAAGACATTCACTATCTCTGCCCTAACAAACCTGTCCTCAAAACAACACTGACGGAATCTGCGGGCTGTAGATCAGTGGTACACGCTGCCCTCCTAAAGCCAAGCCTCACACTCACATCTGGCTGTCACCGAGACCCAAGCAGAGATTGTAAGTGACAGGTGGCTCGCTAACACTCCTGTGCGCACAGCTGCACTCACTCACGACCAGAATGACACTGACACCTGTGTCACCTCGCTCCACCAGAGCACGCCATCCAAGTACCAAAAGGTGCCATTCCTCACCACGACGACCTGGCATCGTATCATCATCCAAGTGAAGAGTACAAATTAGAACTGGAAATCCCATCCTTCTCCCGGAACCACACTTTCACCCTAACTCCAGAACGGGAGTTGTGGTTTGCGAAAAGGGGGGGGTCCCAGCAAACTGACATTGCTTCTATCAACACAGCCCGCCGAGCTTTGTCTCAACTGCCCGCCTTAACGGCCTCACCTGCTGTCCAATCCTGGACTGCGGCCGTTCCTACGCTGGGTACCTCTATCAGACACACTCCGACACTTGACAGTCATCCTGCACAGGAGGCTCAACGAGATGCGAACATCTACAGCCAAGCCCACGGGACCCTCAGGAAGAGGGTACCACGCTGGAGGCTGCGTCGAACTTAATCAGCCTCAGCCTGAGAAAACCTGCTACCCGATCATCATGATTCACCTGTCACCCGTCCATTGTGATTTATTGTTGTCCGATTAAGTCCACACAGGGACTTCACCAGACAAAAAGGGGGATATGTAAGGACTGGGCGAGGGTGAATCTGAATAACTAAATACCTCCGTGCTAAAATCCCAAAGCCTTTAGCCCCAAAAGGCCTGGAACTTGAAAAAACACACACAAACACACACACACACACCTCCCCCACAGCTGACACCCACACTCAGGACAGAGCGTGGTGTCCGCTTACAAGACATTAAGACATTTTATGACATTTTTGGAATGTCCCAAAGGAAGTGAATCCTACAGCGAAAAGAAACTTCTTTTCTTTAAAAGACATTCAACCAGATATATTTGATGTGTTTTTATGTGTGTCCATTTGCCCATGTAACATTGGAATAACTGTGACTTTATCATTATGCATTTTTACATTTAACTGTCTATTCCCAGTATTGTTATACATCGTTCTTGGTCTTGTTTTAATTCTCATGATCCAGTGGAATTAATCAGATACAAGAAAATACAGTAAAAGTTATGATTCTATGTGCACCAGCTTTTTGGGACAGTAAGAACCAAAACTTAACATACTGTCAGAGCCTGGGGTTCTTAGATAACAGCATTTACGACCTCACCAGGAATGTCAGAGAAGTGTGTCTCTCTCTCTCTCTCTCTGGATTTAACTAAGAAGGAGAAATGAGTTCTGTATTATTCTATTCTATTATATATCCCCTTTAGAATTGTACAAACAATGTATCCAATCTCATCTTATGATTCGTCTTTTATGTGTTTGATCTATGTTGTTGGGAAACTCTAATGGGATAAGGTTTCAAACTTTGCAAACTATGAGTAACCAACTCCATGTGAGGCAAGTTTGGAGTCTCTGAGCTCCAATCTTCGTTCCCCATTTAGCCATTTATATCACATCTTGCTAAAACTTTGTGACGCATGGGACTATAATAATTGTGAAGATTCTGCTCTTAAACACCTGACGAAATTAGGGCTCAAATGTCTTTCTCTTAGACAAAGAGCAATAACCCCAAAGTCCCGCCTGTGAAATTCCAACCCTCTAATTGGCCAAGCCAACAGGAAGAGGCTGGATTTCTCCAAAGGTGATAAATGACGCTTCACCCCCTCCGTCTCTCTCTTCCTGCTCGTCCGCGTTTTCAGAATGTAACGTCTCGGTTCCAGGCGAGCTCTTCGCCTTTCTTTTATTTGTTTCTAGTTTAGTTTGTGTTTTTCAGTGTTAGACAAATCTCCGGGTCGAATTCCGATCAACGAGTGAAGGAGAAACACGCGCGCGTGACCACGTGACCGGACTGAGAAACACACAAGCGTTTCTTCACCAGCCATGCACAGATGGAACATTAACTCCTCGTGATTCCCCCGTAGAGATCTTTATTTCTTTTCTTTGTTATTCAAAGTTTGTTTCGTAGTCGACTCTGTTTCACTTCTACGAAGTGAAACGAACTCAGCCGAACTATTTTCCTTTGGTAATGTTACCCCAAAGACTGTGAACCTCCGTTCAACACGCGCGCCAAGCAGCCCACGTGATGCTTCCTCACACACAAAGGAATCCTCTCACGCACGCGGCCAGACAAGGCCGCGCAGGATTGCCGCGATACAGAGAGACCAAGAAACTTGCGCAAGTATATCTCTTTATAGAGCTTCTAAGAAGCATTAAGAGGATGTTTTTCGTGTTGTTACAGACAGGTGACTGTCCGGGTGAATGTTGCCAATGCTCCCCCCCTCTCTCTCTCTCTCTCTCTCTCCCCCTCTCTCTCTCTCACACGTGTTTCCATTGTCCAAACTCTATGTATTTATCCGTGTAATTAATTGCAATCAACTTGTGGTTAATTTCAAAGATTCACATGCATGCAGGTAAAATGACAGATCCTCCCTTATCGGGAGATTTATTAACATGTAAGACTGATCTAATCCAAACATGTATGAATAATTATTAATTACCAATTATTAATTATGATATGCAAATTCCCCACGGATTAGATCCGCCCTGAATCCTTACAGTGTTTATTTTAGTTGGGCTCTTGACCCTTAAATCATTAACTTTAAATTTTATTTGGTTGCTATACCTGAGTTATAACAGCCAGATGAACAAAGAGAAAAGGTGATCTGATGGTGTTGGTTGTGTTTTAACAAGATTATAAAGCCCATTGACCTGAATCACTGATCTCATTGAGAGCATAATTTCTAAGTCAAGTTTACCTTATGAATTATAGAGGCACTGTCATTGTAGAGCATACCGTTTTTATCCTTATTAATGAAATCCAAATGATCAAATCAATAAAAATAAAAAAACTTCCAAAACATATTTTATGTAGGCACACACACAGACATCAACAATTAGCGTATGAATCTCAGCAATGGTGTCAAACAGATCACCTCTAAACATAAGCTCATTATTTATTTATGCAGCAATGCATGATGGGAGCCATGAATGAGTTTTGATTGGTGCCACCCAGAATGCACTGCAACATGCTTTTTAATTGTCACCATTGTTGAGATTCACAGTCTGATTCTTGATGCCTGTGTCTAAAAAAAGTTTTTTTTTTAATAAGCAAAAGTTTTAAGAAATTATTTGGATTACATTGTAAAAGTTAAAAACATTATGTCGTACAAGGACAGTGCTGCTTCAATTAATAAAGTAAACCGAATTCAGAAATTGGTCTTTATATGAATTCAGTGATTCAGGTCAAAGATTGAGAAATAACAATTATGTTAAAACACAACCAACACCATCAAATCACCTTTTCTTTTTGTTCATCTGGCTGTTATTACTCAGGTACAGCAGCCAAACAAAATCTCAAGTTATTGATTTAAGGGTCAAGAGCCCAACTAAAGCAAACACTGATCTCCATAATGGTAACATACCAATTACGATTTTCTCCTTTAGTGATTCTGCTTGTTAACATCAGGTGTCTTCAATAATGCTCAATTATCACTCAATTAATCACTTAATTATCTTATTAACTTTAGCACTGCTTCAGTGTTCATTTAACACTCTCTGAGGCCCCGTTTACACGAGAACGATTCCGGGTGAAAACGTAAAAATATTTTTTCGGATGTGCCTTTCGTTTACACGGCAACGGCGTTTTGGGGGCTTAAAAACGCAAAAAAGTGAAACCACCCTCCAGAGTGGCAATCTTAAAAACGCTCCACCGTCGCCTTCCCGTCTAAACGGTAAAAACGCAAATCTGCTCACGGTGGCTCTCGTCGCGTACGCGTTTACGTCACATGCATGCGCCAGTACAGGAAAATAACAACCAACATGTCAGATTATTTCCATACGTCGGACCTTCAATTTGACCTAGCAGCTCTGAAAAACATACAAGAGTCTTTTCAACAGTTGTACAAAATATTCTAAGATATGGTGTTGTTGTGTGGCAGTGCTTCACATTGCCACCTAACTGCCTGGAGTGCATACTACATCGAATTTCACACACTTTTGCGTCACCATATGCACGCGGATTTCCCAACCATAACGCTCGTCTAAACGCAGAATAAAAAGTGATAACGCAACGCCACTTTTGCGTTTTTTCTTCAGATCGTTTCCGTGTAAACATAGCCTGAGTGTGGACTCATATAAACACTGAGCAGTGTTAATTTAACACTGGTGATTTTGCTGTGTACCTACCTTTTGACTCTCCTTGTTTTAGTTCTGGAGTTATGAGTCTGTACTTTAGTGTGTGTCACTCTAAAAATGCCTTCAGGGCTTAAGGGGTTGAAACACTGAACTTTTCCACTAACAAACAAGTCCCTAAATAGGAAGAATTGTTTTATATCTATACGTGTAGTGTGGTGTAACTTACCTCACAGGTTTCCCATAGCTGCTGTGCTAGCTGAAGGATCTCAGACATCAGGAGTTGAATAAATGGAGTTCTCAGGACACAACTTCCTCCCAGAGCCAGCAGACACTCTGACAGCACTTCATGGACTGAGACCTAACAGCAGAATGAGACCACATCAGACTGATTTGTCTCTCTCAAGATCAGGGGTAGGCAACATCAATCCTAGTGAGCCACTGTCCTGCAGAATTTAGCTCCAACCTTGGAACTCACATGCCTGTAGCCTTAGTAATCCTGAAGACACTGATTAGCTTGTTCAGATGTGTTTGATACGGGATTGGAGCTAAACTCTGCAGGACAGTGGCTCTCTAGGGGTACGTTTACACGACAACAAAATGCTTAAAACAAAGTGTTTCCTTTGAGTTTTCCCAGTACAGACGACACCGTTGTCAAAACGATCCCCATTCACACGGATCCGCGAAAACGACTAAAAACGCTGTATTCTGCTGCCAGGCCATTAGATGGCGATGAAACACTACAGACTGAATAAATAATACGCATGTGCATGATATCATCGTCTTCAGAGATTCACGTTTTTGTTGTTTACACGGAGACCGTTTTAAAAACTTGCACTTTGAAACCCGTTTTCAAAAGTTTGCGTTTTCAGGCGCCTAAAACGCTTGTCATGTAAATGAACGGCTAAAACGCATAAAAAGTTTTACGTTTTTAGTTGAAAACGGTGTCGTGTAAACAGCCCCTACTAGGACCGACGTTGCCTACCCTGCTCTAGATGATACACTAATAAAACTGACCCAGAACACACCTCCAGAATATGACAGAAAGAAAAAAAAATCCCATTAATAATGAAATAAACAGACTGGAATTACTGATTATGATTCATATATGAGGGAATTAAAATTAGGTTTAGGATCATGAAAAAGCTGCTGGAAAAACTGTGCAAAACTTTTGATACTAATAGGCTCCAGTCTTATACCAAATGCCAGGCTTACTGAATCTGTGTCCAAAGAAATGATGAATGCCCATCATCACAAAGCTGCCATAGTTGCTGTTTGGCACTAAGCTGTCACATTTAACACACTGTTATGGAGCATGTTACCAAATTTTAATGCTGCTACGACCGATGCAGTAAATTAAGCAATGCTCAAATATTAGATTTCTAAAGGACTATGAACGCTGTCACACAAACATTTTCTAGGTCAACGGCACCACTCTCCTGTTCCCGTAAATCCACGGTCAAACTAGACTTTGAGCACAGAAAATCTCAACGCAGTCGGACACTGCAACGGTCATAGCTATGTGTTTTCTTTCTTTTTATTTTTTTTATTTTTTTATAATACAACATACAATTCATCCAAAATTTAAAACTATGCACTGGCAGAGTTCACCAAACATGAACTTTGGAACACAGCAAAATTTGAATGAGCATGTGTTTCCTGTCTCCTGTTTGCGTGAATGAAATTAAAAGTGTAATGTGACCCCTTTAGAGTTTGAAATAGCCTAGGTTCTTACCACTAATTGATGCACTGTACTATAAAAACTGACACAACATCAACTGCAGTCAAATAAATTGCAGAAGCCAGATTGTCTGATATTTAAACATGCTGGCTAAGGTGAAATGAAGGTTTGTTAAAAAAGTTATTCACTTTGGCATTGGATTGTTACTTTAATATTCCCATCAGAACTCATAACTGTGTGAACACTCCTGATCTGACTCCGCTTGTACATGGACCCACACACAATTGTGGACACACTAGATTTACTTCAGTAAGGGTCTAATCATTGTTATTAAGGACGTAGCATCTGCTAATTTCTGTATGTTTTAATATATTGATCTCTCCTGCCACTGAATCTATCAAAATAAATACATAACTGAGAACAGTAGTGTCCTATTTATCAAGGCTATATCTTTGACACCAAGCATTTCTGCAGACTCTGTTAATATTCTCTTCCTGATTTCTTTAACTCCAAAAGAGGAATGTTATTGATATCATTGCTCCTGTAAAATCCAGGACGACTGTCAGATATAAAGTACTGGTCAGAATACTGAGCAAGCAGCCTGAATCTCTGAAAAGAGAAGCGACAAAGGAGTCAGCGATTTGTTTTGTTTTTTGCTCAAGAAATGTGTTTAGCAATTATAATAAATTTATCGCAGGCTGAGATCCAAATAGAGTGTCTCAGGAGTGGCATCAGTGCTGGAGCGAGAACAATCTTTGTTAATGCAGTGCACAGTTGCTTCATTGTCAACGATGGGGTCAATTTTAAATAGTGCTGAGGAGGCTGATAGCTGTGGCGTGTCCAAAATTTGAGGGGGACATGGAGACGCAAACCAACGGCCTTGATAAAATCCCCCAAAGCCAACAGAGGTTACTGTAAAAGAAAGATAGGCTGATCCACGGTTCAAGGAATGTTATCTAAAAAACTAAGCTCGTCATGGCATGCGCAAGCAATTTGATCATCTAAAGCGCAAACTGAAGACGCCAATGAGAGAAGATATGAGATGAAAGGGCGGCCCTGTGGAATTATGCGCATCGCAGAATATACAGTAGATAGCTGAGCAGTGAAAGAAGTTCGCGTTTGGAAAAATTTGGTCTGTCTAGTAGAGTAGACACAACCAGAATTATCCTATCAATTTTTTCCTTGGGAAATGAAGGCTGGAAATTGATTGTATTCAGGTTAATGCCCACAAATGAGATGTAGCTGGACCCAATGTTTTTTCTTTGGCGATGGGAATCCCAAGCTCAGCCAAAAAAAAAACGTTTTGGACTGTGAGAAGATGCGTGGCTGGGATTGCGTTAGGAGGCGGGATAATTAGGAAATCATCAAGCAAATGAATGATGTAAGGGATTGCGTGAAAATTCTTCAATAGAGATAATGCTATTAATACTTGGGAACTTGGAGATGACAGATCGATTATGAGGCGTTTTTTTTTTTCCTGAGAACTTTTTAGAAGCCATTATCCAATAGGGCTGATGCGAAACATTTCAAAAAGGGGGTTGTCGAAAGGTCCAATCAGGAATCCTGATTTAATATTATTATTATTAAATGCCATCTTGTTGTGTTGTTGGGTGCAAGAATCAATGAAAATGAATATGTTGTATCTGGAATTTTTATTTCTAGAAAATATTCACATCATTAAAATTGCACCGTAATGTCACTCTTTACATTGTCGTCTTGGCGCTGGCTAGGCAGAACTGTGGATCGTACCACACAAGTCTTGTACATGACCATTCATCACATAACGTTAGTTATAGGCATCTAAAGATTTATATGCCCTCAGTTTCTCTTTACGCTCGGTTTCTCTATCGGATAGGTGTAGAAGTCAGGCCACTCAACCGGAGGTAGCGTTAACGTTAATCCTGTCAGATCGTCCATCCATTGTACAGTACAGTACGGGTCAGCCAATCTGGTTCCGTCCGTTAAAATTAACTTTTGCAAATAACAATCGCGGTCCTGGACACTGAGTGACCTTGCACATTAAGATAAAATCGGATTTTCTCCAGTCATTGTTAAAAAACAAGCTAACAAAACTTGCAAACTAACGTTAGTGAAGCGGCCAGAGGGATCGTTCTGCCTCCACCTAAGCTCAGCCCACAAAAAAGTCACCATGTTTACTTACTGAAAAGGGGTCTATACAAAGCAAATTAGGGTAATCTCCATGACAACTAAAAAGTGTTGGGAAACTGAACAAAGGAACACATGTGACTGAAAATAACAAACTAAAAGTCCATTAAAACAGAAACTAACAGAACATAACTGACACATAGAATGTGCATCAGTTGTGTTTAGCTTTTTTATGAATTTATAAAGCCACTGTAAACTTTATCATTATATATTATATTGTTATATTAAAATGCTTATATATTTTGTGCAAATAATTAGCTTTTGCTGTTGTCAATAAAAAAGCCTGACAATGTCACTGCTAGATACCTGTAAGTATTGTGGTATTCCACCATGTTTCTTACTGAAACGCCCCAAACTCGGGGTTCAGTGACAATCCTGTGTTTCCCATTTGACAGGGCTCTACAGTGCGCCCAAAATTTGTAAGGGTGTGACTAAAATTTTTCCTAGGTCGCACCAATGCACCCAAAGTCCACGCATCCGCAGCCTCTCCACGAACGAAGCACTTGTTCTCCTTTGACGGAACTCACACTGGGTGGATCATATTGTGGTCTAAACCAGAGACAGAGATGGGGCGGGTCTTTGCCTCTGATTGGCTGTGGTCCAGATATTCCTGTAGGCGTACACTGCTCGTGCTCCGTGCTGTGTGATTAAAATTGCGACCTGAGCACCAGAGAATCAGGGCTCGTTTAAACTGTCAGTGAAATGTGACCCAATTCCGATTGTTTGCTCATATGTGACACAGATCGAATGTGTTCTATGACCGTGTAAACAGGAAAAAAATGCATGCATTCAGATATTTCGATATCGGTTTCAGGCCTCGTTCATATGTGAAAAATAAATCAGATATGTGCCAATGCGACTGTCATGTAAACAGGCAGATCGGATTTTCTGAGGCGTTAGGCTACGTCTCTGTGGTTTAATGACGAGAGAAACCCCGACGCGCATCTGCAAAGGGACGGATGGCCTGACGAAACATCTCATGAAAGTGAGCATCTGTAGCACAAACTTTATTTCTCGTGCCATTTATGCCAAAATAGTTTTTGCGTGCATATGATATGCACTTTATGGCGTATTATTACGTTTACAGTGCGTATCATATGCACGCAAAAACTATTTTTGGCGTATAAATGGCACGAGAAATAAAATTTGTGCTATAGATGCTCACTTTCATGAGATCGTGTTGTATGTTCCCACCAGTCCTGAGATCTCTCTCGCCATCTCGGTTCGTCCATCTGTGCAAGAAGAACCCCCTTTAAGCATGCGCGATGTTTCAGATAGTATGTCAAGTGTAAACACATATAAAAGAAAATATATTTACCTACACCTTATTCTTGTTTAAAATCATTTACATGAATGTATATGGAGCGTGATAAAAAGGTGGCGTTAAAGGCGACGCGAGCCGAGGAAAAATTGTGCTACTGCACCTAAATAAAATAGTTAGGCACACCAGTGCAACCAAGGCTAAAAGTTAATCTGGAGCCCTGTTTGAATTTATGACTTTGTGGTGCCGTTCATGCGTGTTCAACTCGTAAATACAATATTTATGAGGTGACTTGAACGCACCATTATTCAAAGAACAATGTTCTTTATTCACCCTTGCATTGCAAACAAGCAGAGATGGTCCAAAATGTGTGCGGCACCTCATTCAAGATTGAGGCGGGGTGGAGTTATGAGGTTTTACTGAACAGTTTGAGGGTCCAATGGAGTTACGAGGTTTAGTCACAAGCTCTTTTTAATACTTTTCATTGGTTAAATATTTGCAAAACCCACAGACAGACATAAAGGGTGACCAAAAGTAATGATTTATGTGGGGGGAAAAAACGAAATATGGAGATACGATGCTTCCGCCATACAGCGATGATTTAAAAAAATAGAATATGGAAAAATAGATCATATTTAACAAATACATTCATTGTAATGCCAGAGGAAGATGGGCTGCCTCAGCCGAGTCTAGTTCCTCTCAAGTTTTTTTCTTTTCCATTTAATCCCACTAATGCCAAATAATGAGAAAGAACCAAATTGCTTACCATATCTATGCAGATTGAAATCCAGATCTACTTGCCTAATGACTACAGCCCCATTGTCTCCCTGTGCCAGTTGACAAAAATATTGACCTAACCCTCTTCTCGTCTGGTCTGCAACTGACTTTACCCACAATACAAAGAGCATCGTAAAAAATGTGAGACATGTGGTTGTTTTTCTTGAGAGGCCATTGTGTTTAAATGATTATTGTATGTATGTATGTAGCATTTTTTACTATGTTGTGTTTATGTATGGCTACTACCTTGGCCAGGTCTCTCTTGTAAAAGAGATTTTTGATCTCAATGAGACTTCCTGGTAAAATAAAGGTAAAATAAAAAATAAAAAATAAAAAATATAATAAATTTAAAAAAAAAAAATGAGTACACAATAGGGCTGCACGATATTGGTAAAAAATCACATTGCGATATTTTATTTTTCTGCGATATATATTGCGATATAAAAACAATTTCACCAGATTACTTAAATAGCTCTATTTGGAAAGAATGAATAATTCTAGAATGACTTGGGTGGTTTTGTCATGGAGTAAATCTGCATAGAAACTAATATTAATAGTATGTTAACTAATGTAGTTAACTAGACTTTAATAAATGGAACCTTATTGTAAAGTGTTTCTGATTTATGTCTCTTGAGTTCAGTGTTGGACAGATCAGTTGTTTTAACCATTCATTAAAGTGAATCGGTTCAAATGAGTCATTAGTTCGCGAATCGGACGTTTCATTAACGGACCACATCGCACAAGATTTGTCAACACAGAAAACATTTCATCACTGGATGAAATCCATCACTGAGTCAACTCAACTCAATTCATTAATATGCGCGAGGGAGGGAGAGCGAGAAAGACAGTTTGAAGACGGTGAGAGTGCGCGCGCGCGACCGGGGCTTTCACTCTCTCTGCTCGCTCTCTCAGTTAAACAAGCGCAGCAGTCAGTCTTTACATCAGTCACCGGTCAAACTTTGGTGGGACAAAAATACGCTTTAGAGGCTGACAGAAAACAGCGCGCAAGTTCCAGTCTTCTTGCGCTTTATGTTTAAACTGACAGGACTTGCAAATTGATAAACTCTCACACTATGATGGTTGAACTTTGCAATTAATCCACGAATCACAAGCGTTACGGGCCGGAGAGCTGCTGGCACGTTGCCTACTGATCATGAATCACCATCAACTACGATCCATACTTGACATCGTACATATCTGCGATGTGACTATCGTGGATGCGCACATCGCGATATCGATGTTAAAATGATACATCGTGCAGCCCTAGTACACAAGCCTCTCTCTTACCGCATGGAGTTGCTGGTTGGTTAGTAGTAGGCTGATCATCTCCTTCAGCAGATTTTCCACTTTGCTAAAATGCTGCACTGAACACCCATGACGAGTTCCTCCTCGACTCAGGGTCTGTGCCACCACCTGTGTGGCATGATGCAGCTGCTCTGGGTGAAGTAGAGGCTGTCCAACATGTGCCTGCCTAAAAACCTCCACCACCGAATCCAGCAGCTGCACCACTGAATCCCAGACCACGTCACCATCACGACACAGAGAAGACTCACAAACTCTGCGCAAGCCACTCAGGCACTGTAGGAACTGCATGTGTTTCAAAAGCCTGTGGTCCTGGCGCCACTGTCTATCCTGGAGGGGAAAGTTCTGACTGTTTGGAGGGGTTGGAGGCAAACATGGTCCCTTAGCAATGTTTATATGTGTCTGCGAGCTGTTATCAGTGTCACAGCCAGAGTCACCTTTTAACTGCTGCGGGTCATCCTGAGAGAGTACTTTGGCAATCTCTTGACCTGTGAAAACAAAACACAGCATATCAGCATATCATATTAATATTGAATAAAACACTTAATTTTAACATTTACTCTCCTTTAACGGTCAGAAGCAAAGCATGCTGGGCACTGTAAACCCTAATGTTGTCTTTACTTAAACAATCAAGTGTACTTGACTAAACATTACTTTAAATTTAGCATTTTGGCCCTGTCACTCAAAAATATAAGTTCAAATAACTTATTTACCTTCAAAATACATAAACTTAAGATTTCAAGTGCTGTGAGCTCAAAATCCTGATTAATCCTTACAAAAGGTCATTTTCACAAATGTTGTTTTCTTGACTGTGAAATGAATACATTCATACATGCTTTCTTCAAGTGCAAGGTGTCATTCTTATTTTACCAGAAAACAAATGGCTTTCATTATATTACAATTATTGATCGTAATGGAAATAAACTGATTTTTATTTTTAAATCTGATACTTTATAAACTTGATAAATAAACTGTAATACCCATATACAAGTGTTTTTGTAATACAGTACATCTCCAGTGTTAAATTTACACTGCTCAGTGTTTATATGAGTCCACACTCAAGAGTGTTATGAGTAACACTGAACCAGTGTTAAAGTTAATGAGATAATTAAGTGATTAATTGAGTAATGATTGAGCATCATTTGTACAAGTTCTGAAAGTTAAAATCTGTTGTAACTCATTCCTTGAATGTGTGTGAATATGTGTGAACATACATTCACATTTATATGGGAACATGTATGTGCAATATATGTACACAATAAAGGATAAAGCTTTGTGAATATTACATGTAATGCTATTTTTGTCTTCATTTATGAATATTGTATATGTATTAGTATATAGCCATATATGTTTAATGCATATATTTGCGTATATTGAAAAATATAAGCACTAGTTTCCTATATATGGAAATATATTATGTAATATAGCGCATTATATTTTGCAGTATATTCCCATATATGTTAGTTCCGTAAGGAACATGCTTTTTATACACATAGCATCTTTCTAGCTACTGTCACCATGAAATCAAAATTGATGATTCTTATTTTTCATGGAATATTGAAGTTCTTATTATAAATAATTAAAACATTTTTCTACAACCTGTCACTCATATGAGATCAACGCAATAGCAAACCCAATGGACTTCAATGTCAGTTTCCCACTGCTTAAGTCATGCAGGTCGGCACAAATAAAATGTACGTAGTTGATGCAGTTTAAAGACAGGCTACAGATCCTTTGGATTCACATTGGGAACATTTCTGTTGCTGCTATAATAATGCTATACCATTACACTCAAACATACGCTTCTTGTATTCTGTGAGAACCAGAATGAGACGTACTGCACCGCTAAAAGGAGAAAAGCAAACCACTTGGAAGGATTGTTGTATTAAATAAAATATTCGATAAAAAAAATTGTTAGTTGTCTTAATTTGTTGGGCTTATCAATCAGTTGTTGTAACCTCAGTTGGACCTTTCAACTCCAGTTAGGAGTTATTTTTTTAACTGTCAGATGAAGGTTTCTGTTATTTTGAAAGAAATATTTCATCCTTTTTTCCATTCATTGTGTTAAAATATTAAAAACATCAACTGAACTGCATGATATTATGTCTGATTTACCTAAGGACATTTTAATATTAAAAAGGAGGGTTCATAATAACCCTAACCCAGGAAAAAAATGTAGAGAATGCATTTTATCATTTAGCTCTACGGATTTGACACAAATTAAGTTATGAAGTGAATAAACGTAAACTAGACAGAAGTGACAGAACCCTGACACTCTCAGCATTGATATCTGACGTAAAGCGTATATGAGTAGCCTAATAAACCTTCTGCAGTCTGTCATGTTAATCAAAAAAACAAAAGACAAGAGAAAATGTATTTGTGCTGTTGTTTGCAATTTGTTTATTTGTTCTCATTTTATTACTGATTTTTTCTTGTCTTTCTTTGTAAATTTAGTTCAAAGATTTAAATAAAGCCACCCTGTGCTGTGTGTAAACTCCTGCAACAAAATTACCCAAATTGTCAAAAAATTATGAGATAAAAATATCTGAATGGCAGTATAATGGAACATCGAATATCGATATTTTTCAAGGTATCGTATCGAAGTGTGAAATTTCAGTATCATGACAACACTAAGTTGCAGTATAAAATAAGTTGCAACAATATGTTGTAAATATATTTTAGGGAATATGCTATTCATTATAGGAATATCAATAAACTCTCCATGATTTTTTAAAAGGATTTTATTAATCTCCATGTATTTTCCAGGTCTTTAACAGATGGATATGAAATCCTACCTTGGCCTGGCTCAGTGTTGCTCCTCGTCTTGAACATTAAGCGCGTGAGCAGCAGCTCTTGTCTGAGATGCAGCAGATCGTCATGAAGACCTTGAGCTTTAGACCTCCAGCTTTCATCCTGCAGTCGGAGTCGATCAGCCAGAGATTCAGCGAACTGTCTGGCTCCTCCTGATGGTCTGGACTTAATAACAGCCACGGCCAAAGCCAGTCTGGAGACTCTTATGTACCAGCTCACCGCTCCTACAGAGATAATGCAACAGGTCACCTTAAGAAAGAACTAGTCCACTTCTAACATCACATGATCCACACTAGACACAAGTAACACACACACTCAAAAAAACCTTTCACTACTGTGAGATTTACTGAATCTGCTTTTGTTCCTTAACAAATGCAGGTAATCGAATGCACTCATTAGCCAGCAGCCATATCACCCTGTAGCCCAAGACTGGTTGCCCACTGAAGCTAAGCAGGGCTGAGCCTGGTTAGTAACTGGATGGGAGACCTTCTGAGAAAACCAGGTTGCTGCTGGAAGAGGTGTTAGTGAGGCCAGCAGGGGGCGCTCACCCTGTGGTCTGTGTGGGTCCTAACCATAGACAGTAAAAGAAATGGACAGAGCCATCTCATTGGAACTCAGTTGAGACAGTTGAAGCCCATTTTTAGCGATTTTTGAGCACTTCCGTTCCTGACGCGCAGACTCAGACCGACTCAAACTAAGCTTGATGACGTGAGCAACCTGTCTGACAGACGTTACTCTTCTAGTAGCTGTGCGTGAAAACTGCCAACGTTAATCTTGCAGAGACGGGGAACTTGAGCAAAGAGTTCTTTGGCGTGAGTGAGCAGGAGTAAGAATTCCGTTGCTTTTATGGACTCATTATCTATGGGCTTCTCCCTTGACGGGACGTCCCCCCGATTGCCTGCGAGCTTCTCCTCCTGTCTGTACGGTAACTTCTGTACAGCGCGACAGAGAGTCGAGTGGTTATGACGCAATCGTTAGCCTATTTTTACTAAATCTGTTTCTACGGGGCCATAGTGTAACATAGAAGGTAATGGAGCCCTTTATACATTGTCGTGTTTCTTTAGAAATAAATAATGGACAAATGGAGTCTTTAAACGCCTCAGATGTAAAGTTATTCGCTGTCAAAGTGACGCAAAAATGAATGGGAGTCAATGGAAATGCTAACGCAAGTGAAGTTCTGCTACAACATGGCGGCACCCGGCCGGCTTCAACTTCCGGTCGATGGATTACCCCCTTGGTCCTAACCAAGCGTGCCGCACAAGCTCTGAAAAGTGAAGCCAACAAGTCTCGATCGCCCCCCGGTGGCCGGTCCTAGTATAGGTCATTAACCCTGCCTCCCTGTGTTATTCAACGGCATGTGAGACCAATTAAATTACAGATTAAATATAGTTTTTCCAAAGATGATTTCTGTCAATAACTGTAGTTTTTATCACGCTGATGTAATTTCAAGTGTTTGTTTTTAAAATAAGTTTGTTTTTAGTTAGTTATTTGATGTGGTGGTGTGACCGATGTCATGATTGACAGCTGTGATTGACAGGTTCTCTGAGCGAAGTAGTCACTGAAGCACCAACAGACTTTTTTTCGGGATCTTCGGAGGACTGAGCAGATTGGAGCTTTAAATTGAATATCTACATTTTTTATAATTAATTTTTTAAAAAGTGCCGGAGCGTTTGCTTGCGATTGATTCAGCGAGAGTGAGGGCGGGGCCTTGATTTCGCGGCTTTACTTCCTGCTCACGACTGCGCATGTCTGGTCCCGAAATCGCTACTGCGCAGACTCAAGTCCCAAGATGTCAGCGCCATATCGGGACACTGGCGGCTTCACTTCTGACCAATGGAAGAGAGCGAAGGGGCGTCGTCCATCTTTTTTTACAGTCTATGGTCCCTAATGCCCCAGTATAGTGACGGGGACACTATACTATAAAAGAGCACCGTCCTTCGGATGAGACTTTAAACCGAGGTCCTGACTCTCTGTGGTCATTAAAAATCCCAGGATGTCTTTCGAAAGAGTAGGGGTGTAACCCCGGCATTCTGGCCAAATTTGCCCAGTGGCCTCTGTCCACCATGGCCTCCTAATCATCCCCATATATATATATATATATATATATATATATACACTGATTGGCTTCATCACTCTGTCTCCTCTCCACCAGTAAGCTGGTGTGTGGTGGGCGTTCTGGCGCAAGATGCCCTCTACCTAACTGTCAAAAAAACAACACAATCTTAATAAAAAAAATATATATAAATAAGAATTATATATTTTTGTTGTAAACACAAAATAACGTATTCTACAAGAGGAATAGACTATGTCATCATGGCTGACATCGTTGAGGACTGGACCCCAGGCAGTCCATTTATTACAGGCTAATATAGCTATGATGAACTGTTTCCACACAAATGTCAACACACTGAGGCATCATAATAATCTAATGTCAGCACAACGGCACAGCTGCAATGTCTACACTCTAGAAATATTGTCTGACAGGCGAAAATTAATGACTATAACGTTAACTCATTAGAACAATTTTAGGTTTCCCAGTTTAACAGATGTGGGATGGGATCACTGGTCGAGAATTTAACTTAACGTTATATAGATCAGAGGATGGTTTGTAACATGCTTTTTGATTTGTCTATCTAATAATCATTTTAAAAACTTCATAGCAGTTTTGTCTTGGTACTGTGCTGCCACAGTATGTTTTTGTAAGCGTTATCAGCCTTTGATACAATGAAATCGTTAGCTTTATCGTGATTAACAGTTACAATCTGAGTGATTTTACCTTGGCGACATGAGGCAGCTTTCTCCTCCATTCTTCTCCAAATATTAGGATGTCAATCTGAGACGCTTACATTATACTCATTTTAATAAATATCACATAAACGTCGAATAAAAGTAATTTCCTAGAAAATCCATTGATGGATCGCTGCTAATTGACGAGCGTTAGCAGTCAACGCTAAACAGAATAACCACGCCCACTCTAACCCATATTCATTCAAATGTAGAATGCGGCCAAATAATTGGTCAGGCACGTTGGATCGAAGCATATTTTTAACTCTTTATCGTGTCTAGTTCAGTGGCTGTAGTTGTTTGTCAGTGTCATTTTTCAGGTAAGTATTGTCCAGCAACAGTAACGTTACCCGTTTGTTTTCTCGGCAGTGAGAGCAGATGTTCAGCCCTGTGGGATTTAAACTTAACCTACAAACTTTTAGTAAACAATTCAGGCCTAAACTGCTAGACTACTCAAAGCATGGCCATGTGTGAGAAAAGGGAAGAACAGTTGACATGTGTTGTTATGCAGAAACCCATGACTAGACGGCGCTGTTTCCCCTGTTTAACTGTCTTTAGACTGGTGAGGATTACTAGCCTATTCGTTCATTCAAAAGCCTGCATACATGCTTAACAAATCATTAGCTTATGTAGTACATTCATACAGAAGCAACATGTAACTATAATTCATGTTATATTTTCATATACATTCATTTTTGAATGTGAATGCACTAACAATGTTGTGTTATTTACTCTAATGTTTAGGGGGAAAGACAGGCAGGCAGTTTAACACATTAGCCTATTAATAGGCAACAAGATATCACTGTGTTGGGTCTCTTTTCTCTGAACATTTTCAGTAGATTTAAATAAATGCAATACAACTGTTGACAGTAAAGGAATGGTTATTATGCATCTAAATTCATTCATGGACTATACACGAGTAGGCTACAAAAGACCAAAAGAATGCCGTGGAGGTGGACAAAGGGCTTCTGTACAACTGCATATAAATAACAGAGCAACACATTCTTGTTGTTGTAGAAAATTCAAACATTTGGTAACTCTTCATAATAACTGCATGCTATTAATCATTAGTTAAACATTGGTAAACAATTAATTCATCACTTATAAAGCATTAGACATTAAAAAGTAGGTTATACATACAGCTATAAATGCTTTATTCTTGATTTAAGCATATCTACAGTATAATGTGTTTAATCATTTTATTTTCATACTTTATTATGATCAATTTATAATTTCTAAAAGAAGAATTGCATTGTTTACAAACCAGTTATTTATTTATGAGTTGTCAGTGGTTCATAAGATCACTTAGAAAGTGTAAGGAAATAATTAATAAACTATTTCATACATCTTATTATTCAGACATATAGTAATAGTTACTTGGTTTGGTAATAAAGGCTTTATTGACATGTATTTCTACTGCAATTCAGGTAGTTATAAAACATTTAGTAGTGGTCAGTTAACTATTTTTGTGAGCTCATCTAAAGTGAGGACTATTTATGCCTCGTAAAGCTTTTACAAAGGAGATTTAAAGCCTCAGTTATCTTCTAAACAGAAAAAGGAAACAAACACAACACAGTGATACAGAACATAGAAATGTTTATTTCACGATGCAAAAAAATAAATAAAACTGTACACTTGACATAAAATTAAAAATAAATATCTGCAATGTTATAGAAAATAAAATTGCTTATTTTAATTGTTTTTATTTTTGTAAATGTTTTGCTTTTTGTTCATTATGTTCCTTATTTGGTTTCTTTTTTTACTTTTAATGATATTGTAGAAGTTTATTTTTCATTTTTCATTTTATATCAAATGTACAGTTTTTGCATCGTAAATTTCATCTAGTGGAAGCATTTGGTTCCACACCCAAACAAAATCTCACTGAAAGCTCATTTTTTGAGATATCAACGTCAAATTTGGAACACAGCTTGTTAAGATTATGGCTTTGATTTTCTCACAGTTTTAGGGTAAAACATGTTTTGGAAAATATATATTTCATATAAAATTTTAAAGTGGTGTTTTTATGCATTTTTCATCATCACAAACTTAAACTTGGATAACTTTTTTTTTTACTTTAACTTCAGCAATAATCTGCCAAACTTAAGTCTGTGCTCCAAAGCATTCAAGATTTACAACAGAATATTTGGGACGTTTTGTGTTCATGCTCAAAAAGGTTAACAGGTAATAAATGGAATATAACTATTCCATAAATAATATTTAGTACCTTAAAATCCCATAAAAAATACAAAATATTAAATAAATAAAAAACTATTATCGCACCTCACACTAAAATATAGTACACTGATTTCATTGAAAAAACAATAAAAATAAAAATTCAGTAATTTTTTACCTCCACGTGAGCAGCATCAGAGGGTTCTCTTACGAGAGTATCTCTCGTACTGCGTAATAGCTTACGCTAGGGGAAAAACTCTTTTCCACGAGATATTGAAGCCAAAAATTATCCTTAATTTTTTATTAATGTAAAACGCTTTGCAGCAGCAAGCAGACATAGGCGAAACAGCTCGCGCGCCTATTGGTTGCTCTGCAGCAAATGCAGCAGCCTATCGAGAGAGACTCTGCGTGACGTAATGACCAATGGGGGCAATTCGCGCCCATATCGTCACGTCCCGCCAGAAGGGGCGTGGTCTCACCCTATAAATATGCTCGTTAGGCTGGTACAAGCTGATTTTTATCTCTTCAGCGACGCACACGCATCGCTGGATCCGGAGTGAGAAGCCGCGCCGTCGAAGCAAGCCTTTCAGCGGGACGAGCTCTGGAGTCGCTGGCCTCGCCGCCTTCAACTGCCGTACCTGCTGCGCTTTCCGGCGTTCTATATCCTTTTATACTCTGTGTGTATTTACTCTGTTGAGAGTGTTTGCTCGCTTACTTGACGCGACTCACACTTCTCTCACAAAAGAGCTGCGTCTTTTTAAAGATGCCTTCCTGTGGCTCGTGCCGCGCCCTGCTCAGCGATGGAGACCGGCACGTCATCTGTGTTTCCTGCCTGGGTGAGGATCACGCGGCTCTCGCGCTCGCTGACGGCGGATGCCCTCATTGCGAGCTTTTGCCTATGGTGACTCTGAGGACTCGCCTGGCATCATTCTCCGAGCCTTCACCGCAGCCTGCCGTTGTGCCGCGCCGCAAGAAGCGCCGCGCCCAGCGCGCTCCCGAGCTTTCTCCAGCCCGCCAAAGCTCGCCGGTTCGCCCGCCAGCTTCGCCGGCTTCGCTCGAGTCGCTCACTGACGGACAACGGCCGCCGCCTGCCGCCGCGTCCATCCACGAGTTTGACGAACCCACCGAGGCGTGTTCTCTTCTGGCATCCGATAGCGAGGATTGGGCGAGCTCCGTGGACCTCCCCTCCGCTAGCCGATGGTGTTATAAGTGTAATAAAATGCTCACAGCCCAGTGTTCATTTCTACACACAAACACAGCCCGCCACGGTACAGGGCTCGCACAAATGAAATCGACGCATGTCAATTGTGCATTAAATGTAGTAAATGTGCCCACAACCCAGTGCCCACAAACACTACCACGGTTTCTGTAAAACGAAACCAACACAAGTCTTCCTAGCCTCCTAGGAAATCGACGGTGTTTCAGTCTCGCCGTGGCCAGACTTCCACTGAAATTTTCGCTCGTTCAGTTCCAGAAAATGTGACTGTTCCAGTGTATTTTGCAGTAAGCAAGCCAGTACCATGCCCGCTTGCCTGCACACAAATGCTGTTCCCACGGCGACCCAGATAAATCACATAAATGGTGTATTTTCTGGTATTCCGGCCACAGCCGATGGTGTTATGAGTGTATTGAAAATGCCTACAACCCAGGGCTCATTTCTACACACAAACACAGCCCGCAAAAATGCAGGGCTCGCACAAACAAAATCGCCTCATGTCGATTGTGCACTAAATGTAGTGAATGTGCCTACGTCTCAGTGCCCACAAACACTACACACCACATGTCCCACGGGTTCTGTGAAAACGAAACCAACACACATTCAGTCAGCTCAGGCCGACGGTGTTTTTCAGTGCAGTAAATGTGCCCGCTGTCCTGCGCCCACATTCACTCACAGACATGTTAAGCCCCACGGGGCTCGCCCCGCTCTCTCTCCCTCAGCAAACTGCTATAAGGGTTTTGAGCGCGGCCAGGCTGCCCGCCGCGATCGGCGCGCCCCCCGCCTCACACACTGTAAACACAGTGTCTGCGTTACAGCACGCCGGAGCTCTCTTGCCGTCACTATGTCTCGGCCAGAGCCCAGATCTCATTCTACCCCTAGCTATTCACGCGAAAGTGTGGGCACAGCTTCCTGGGGTATCAGAATGGGTGCTGAACACTATAAATAGAGGCTATTCGCTACAGTTCGCTCGACGTCCCCGCCGTTATACGGCGCGCGTCGAGACGACGGTGGAAAACGAAGTATCTCATCTACTTCGAGCCGAGATAGCGAAACTACTGAGCAAAGGTGCTATAGAACCTTTATCTCAAGCTCAGAGCAAAGGGGGCCTACACAGCAGATATTTTCTGGTACCGAAAAAAGATGGAGGTCTCAGACCCATTTTAGATCTGCGACAGCTGAACAGAGCGCTTGTGAAGCGCCAGTTCAGAATGCTTACGACCAGGAAAATCCTCGCGCAAGTGCGCCACGGGGACTGGTTTATGTCAATAGATCTGAAAGACGCCTATTTCCAAATACAAATGGCGTCCCATCACAGGCGATTCTTGAGATTCGCTTTCGAGGGCCAGGCATATCAATACACAGTCCTGCCGTTCGGCCTGTCCCTAGCACCTCGTACATTTACGAAGTGCATGGACGCGGCGCTCGCACCCCTGAGACTTCAGGGCATGCGAGTCCTGAACTACTTGGACGATTGGCTGATTCTAGCTCGATCACGATCGGAGCTCATAGAACACAGGGCCGCATTATTCGAGCACCTCGAGGAGCTGGGCCTCACAGTCAATTGGGCGAAGAGCTCACTGTCTCCCAGTCAGAAAATTTCCTTTCTGGGAACCGTGTTGGACTCGCTGTCCATGACAGCACGCCTGTCACCAGAGCGCGGGCTAAATATTCAGCGCGGCGCGAAATCCTTCCGCCACGGCGCGATAATTCCGCTCAAAAGGTTTCAGAAAATGCTGGGGCTGATGGCCTCAGCAGCCTCTGTACTCCAGTTGGGCTTGCTCCGCATGCGCCCACTGCAGATGTGGCTGAAAGCGCGGGTTCCACCCAGGGCATGGACAGCGGGTCTGTTTCGCCTCAGGGTCGACATTCAGTGTGTTTCAGCTCTGGAACCTTGGAAAATAACCGACTGGTATCAGTCAGGTGTGAGTCTGGGGACCGCTTCGAGTGTGAAGGTGGTGTCTACGGACGCCTCCACCTCGGGGTGGGGAGCGCTGCTCGAGGGCAGACCGCTAGCTGGCCTGTGGTCAGAACGGGAAAAGCTCCTTCACATAAACTGCTTGGAGATGATAGCAGTCGACAAAGCGCTACGGCGTTTTTGTCCCCAGATAACAGGCCACCACGTCTTGGTCCGGTCGGACAACATGTCAGTGGTGGCATAAATAAATCACCAGGGCGGCGTCAGGTCACGAAACCTTCACAGGCTGACGGAACGCCTCCTGGTCTGGGCTCAGCACAACCTGCTCTCACTGAGAGCAGCGCACGTGCCTGGTCAACTGAATGTGGGACCAGACAGACTGTCCAGGAACAATGTTCCAGCAGGGAGTGGTCGCTGCACCCGCAGACGGTCCAGCTGCTGTGGAAAACGTTCGGCAGAGCACAGGTGGACCTATTCGCGTCCCACGAAAACGCTCATTGCCCGGAGTTTTTCTCGAAAAGCAAGGACGCGCTGGCTCATGCTTGGCCCCGCTGCCCCCTATATGCTTTTCCTCCTGTCTCGCTCCTGCCTCAGGTGTTGGAACGAATCAGGGAGAACGGATGCCCAGTGCTGCTCGTAGCTCCGCTCTGGACAAACCAGACGTGGTTCCCTGCCCTGATGCAGCTGACCAGCACTGCCCCATGGCCTGTACCATTGAGGAGAGACCTCCTCTCTCAGGCGGAGGGCTCGATTTGGCACCCTCGCCCGGAGTTGTGGTCCCTGCACGCATGGGCCATCAACGGGTACCCGCTAGCCTCCCAGAAGGAGTGTTAAACACGATCGCGCAGGCTAGAGCTCCGTCTACCAGGCGGCTCTACTCCTCGAAATGGTCTGTTTTCTCTGCATGGTGTCAAGCCCAGAGCTTTTCACCTGTGGAATGCGGGGTTTTGGAAGTGCTTTCCTTCCTTCAAGAGCTACTGGATAAGGGCAGGACCCCATCCACGCTCAAAGTATATGTGGCGGCCATAGCAACGTTTGCAAAACCGGTGTCTGGCCAGTCGCTGGGGAAAAACGACTTAGTCGTGCGTTTCCTTGGGGGAGCTCGGAGGCTGAACCCTCCCAGGCCCCCTTCAGTCCCGACGTGGGACCTTTCCACGGTCCTGGAGGCCATGAAAGGCGCCCCGTTCGAGCCAATCCAGCTGGTGGACATGAAACACCTGTCGTTCAAAACAGTGTTTCTCATGGGTCTCGCTTCAGTGAAGCGCATAGGGGACTTACAGGCGCTTTCAGTAAGCGCGTCGTGTATGGAGTTTGGGCCTAATGACTCGAAGGTCATTCTCAAACCAAAGCACGGGTATGTCCCGAAATCCCTCAATACACCGTTCAGGGCCCAGGTAATTTCCCTGTCCGCCCTTCCGGTTCTCAGTGAGGAGGAGGATGCGAGTCTCCTTTGCCCCGTCAGGGCATTGAGAGCTTATGTGTAACGCTCGTCTGTTTTCAGACAGACGGAGCAGCTTTTTGTTTTGTTTGGCGGGCGTTCCAAGGGACTCGCCGCCTCAAAACAGAGCCTATCCAGATGGATAGTGGATGCCATTGCGCTCGCTTACTCTGCGAAGGGCCTACAGTGCCCCTTGGGTGTCAGAGCGCACTCCACGAGAGGCGTGGCCTCTTCGTGGGCGTGGTCGAGCGGGGTTTCCCTGCAAGATATCTGTACGGCCGCGGGCTGGGCCTCGCCGTCTACATTTATAAAATACTATAACCTGGAGGTACCCGCCTTACAAGCTAAGCTTTTGGCGGTCTAAAATTCAGTGCTATCTGCCCCGCTGTGCGGCCCAGATGCTGAGTTTACTGCAGCCCCATGAGTGTTGACACATTTATGGCCACCCAGATCAGGCTGAAAGCTTTCACCCTGGCTGCGCGTTTTATTGTCATATGATAGCCCCGCTGGGTGCTTTTTTATAGGGAATGACGCTTCCAGCCTCTCTTCCTCCACTCTATGTGAGTTTATGGTGATTATGCACTACATGAGCCCTGGGCTTCGGCCCCCGGGACTTTGGTGTTGGATCCCTGTACGCACGGCGTGTTGCATTGTGTTCCCCTAGCGTAAGCTATTACGCAGTACGAGAGATACTCTCGTAAGAGAACGTACTCGGTTACTAACGTAACCTCGGTTCTCTCTAGAGAGGGAACGAGTACTGCGTATCTTGCCGTGCTTGGAATACGCTCTGGTTCGCTTCAGCGATAAAAACCAGCTTGTACCAGCCTAACGAGCATATTTATAGGGTGAGGTCTCTCTCGATAGGCTGCTGCATTTGCTGCAGAGCAACCAATAGGCGCGCGAGCTGTTTCGCCTATGTCTGCTTGCTGCTGCAAAGCGTTTTACATTAATACAAAATTAAGGATAATTTTTGGCTTCAATATCTCGTGGAAAAGAGTTTTTCCCCTAGCGTAAGCTATTACGCAGTACTCGTTCCCTCTCTAGAGAGAACCGAGGTTACGTTAGTAACCGAGTACGTTAAACATGTATGAATGCACACAAAATATGAAAGCAAGTGTTATTTATTTTAAAGAGAGATAGCAGAAGCTCACAATTTTGCTTAGTGTTGACATTTGTACTGTGGAACTTTGTGGTTGTAAAACTTTAATGGAACATAGTAAACCAGTTGAAAAAGTAATTCCATGTACAGGTTGGCCTGAATATATAAGGAGGCCTTATATGGCTATAACTTAATGGCTGCTGAAAATGGGGTTTGGCATCATAAAAATGGAAAAATAAGAAAAGTTATTTTAAACAGTACTAAAAATTCACTGTAGCTGGTTGCATTAGTGAACAGAAGAAACGGTTTCTTTCAAAAACATGCAAATGTCTAAGCAAGGGATTCCAAATTTGTTAAACGGTATAGTGGATATACTACACACAATTGTATCTTACTTGAAGGACTCTCAAGTGGATTGAACAATAAAGCATTCGCCAGTCAGTGATCCGCTCTCCAGTCATCAAAACAAGACAGTTCAATCGGATCAGACCTCTTTACAAAAGCCCTTTATCAGGAATTCTGTTTACATAGTAGGGTTAAATCAACAGACAGATTAATTTGTTTGTTAGACAATTGCAAGGAATCTGTAGTTTTATTCTAAGTTTTATGTACTCCGTTTTATGCTATATATTATTGGGGTTATGACAGGGCTGTAGATTACACAATATTTTTTTAGCATCAGAGCCAATTAAAGTCAGTGTAACCCTGGAGTCACGTAGACATCCTCAGCATCTGATGACGCAACATCTCTGTCGTCATTTGAAGTGTTCCCGGAAATACTCTCCAGTCTGCACCTTTGATGAAGGAGATGAATGATTATTTTCTAATACAATGCAAATTTTTATACAAACCATTTACTGACCTGACAAATCTACCATGATCGAATGTGCACATTTACACAAACAACATAGTTGATTAGATGTGAGGTGGACTGACAAAACAGCAGTGAATTAGCATGCAATTCGTCTGATGCCAAGGCTTTGGGCTTTTTATCACAGGGGTCATAGTTCAAAAGCAGTCAGACTCAACAGGCTTCAAACGGCCAGTACAGGTGATCCCAAGAACGGACATCCATTTTTGAGAATGGACAAACCCAGCAAGTATGCATCAATCATCCGCAGCTCTCGTCTCCACACACGCACTGATATGTGAGGCATGCACACTGTTACTTCATGAGGTGCTGCTGATTGATCTGGCACTGCAGCTGACAGATGCTTGAATGGAAAAGCCAGTAATTGGATGAGGTGGGTGGGCCACGGGTAAAGCAGGATTATGTCTGAGCATCAGATAATCAGATTATTCCAGAAACAGATCTTGCTTTTTTAACTACTTTACTGTAATCTGTCACACAATGTCACGCCTCTTCACCAATACTGCATCTCTATCATCTCTCCCTGCCTGCTTTCTCTCTTTCTGCTTTTTACATTCACAGTGTTGTTTTCTGTGAGACACTGAAAGTCCGTCTCAATTTCCAGGTTTCTTCATTTCCATTTTTAGGTCTCGGTGCTTGACAGCAAGGTCTCAGGGACCATAATGGCTTCTCCAGCTTCTGATGGATATATCCAAGAAAAAGGACTTAGCACCTGGAGTCTTGTTCTGTCTTAATACAGCATTGGGTTAGATGTACGACTTGAAGTCAGCATGTCTTTGAAAAGTGGACATCTCTTCACACTCTTCTTCTTTATACTGTCCGTCACAGGAATTCAAGGTAACAAAGTCAAATTTTACAACAAGATGTAGATGAGGACAGAATTTCCAGTATACGTGTTGTGTGTGAATGGGTGATTTCTGCTACAGTGTGCAGTGCAGTGTAACAGTCAAACATGAGGTGGCACTTCTGGACGTGTATTATGATACTCGAGTGATGTGAAATTACTGGACACACCTAAGCAAAGTGTTATTCAATGCGTAGTAGAGTGCAACCAAAATGATGTTTTGATAAAGAACATATACTTGTGTTAAGTGTTTTAATGTTTTATAAGAAACACACAAATGTAGCCACACAAATGACTACAGAAGCAAATGTGTTAAGGATGTTTTTTTTTGTATTTGTTTTTTTTGTATCACCAAACAATTAAGTTTTGTGTACTCTAGATATTCACTAGATACATGTCAACAAGTAGTCATGTGCCATGCATTAAAATATACTGCTTTTAGCTTTTCTATGATATACAGATTTTCTTTTTAGTAAATTGTTGCAAAAATGGCCTAAGACAAATTCAAAGTAAGTTTCTTAGAAATCAAAATGGCAGAAAGAATGTATATAGGTGGAAGCGTACAGTTCCAGATTTATTTTTCAAAATGTAAATTTGCTTGCCCTTTGCACACAAAAAAACAAACAAACATTAATGTCCTTCAAAAATGAGTGCAGAAACAAAGCATAGCATTGCAGATTATGCTAGTTTTGGAAAGAAATGACTGTCTTGAAAGTCCATGAGGGCTGAATTACAATGAAGTTACTAACCTTTTATTTTTAATTTACTTTTTTTTTTCAGACAGAAGAAGGCTAAACCCATTAGAGACTCTTGATGCTAGCAGCTTAACAAACCAAAACGCACCAAAGCAGAATTCAGGGGTCAGAACTATATTTGAAATGGAAAAGCATCGCGTCAGGAGGTCAGATTTCTTCCACTCGGAGGTGAAAGTATGTCCACAGGAGACAATGAGAGAGGTCATAGCCAGCCATCGAACATTCTACACACTGAGAGGTAACTCTCAAACTTATGTACAATAAACATCTTCCCTGTTAGAAGGGTTAAAGGGATAGTTCACTTAAAAATAAAAATTCTGCCATCATTTACTCACCCTCAAGTTGTTTTAAACCTGTATGAATTTCTTTCTTCTGTTGAACACAAAGAAAGATATTTTGAAGAATGTCGGAAACCAAACAGTTGATGGACCCCGGCTTCTATATGGTTTGTTTTTCCTACAATGGAAGCCAATGGTACATCAACTGTCTAGTTACCGACATTCTTCAAAATACCTTCCTTTGTGTTCAGCAAAAAAAGGAAATCCATACAGGTTTGAAACAACTTGAGGGTGAGTAAATGATGACAGAATTTTCATTTTTAAGTGAACTATTCCTTTAACCCTTTCAAATGCATCAATGGTTTTGTTTAGTACAGTGGCTATCAACTCTATTCCTGGATGCCCCTCCTTCCCAACACTGCACATTTTGGCTGTGTAGCAATTCAGAGGCAGCATCCTTCGAAGGCTGCGAAGTTTGGACTGAGCCTTGTTAAATGGGATGGTCTAACCTACGGAGGACTGTTCTTGTTGATGTAACATCTAAAGTAGTTTATGAGAACACATTGTTACTCTTTGATGACTCATGGCCAGAAATAATTTCAGTAGATCAAAAAGTGAAAACTGTATGGTTGATGTAACATCAGAAAAAGTCTATGAGAATGTACAGTGTTACCCTTTGAGGATCCATTGGCGTGATATGTATAGAAAGTTTAAGATCCAGGACTCTTTTGCCAGAATAATTTTCAATAGCTCAAATATGGACTAATGTATGACAACTTTGACAGCTGCCGTTGATGAGCAGCAGTAACGTTTGTACAAGACTTTTCTGAAAGTTATGTTAAACTGTCTGACAGAGTTCACAAACTGTCTAAATGTGTTCACCATGGTCCATTTACTATATATAATAATCACATCTTAGTAAGATATGTCAACATTTGAACGTATTCTTTTTTCGATTCTTTTTTCTTTTTACATTTGTATCATTAGATATTTGAGTAAGTTGAAACCCAATACTTAAGTTTAAAAGTATAATTTGGCAATTTCTCTCCAAACAATTCTGTTGTCACTGGTGTGAAATGAATTCTGGGGTAGGCAAGGCCAAGAAGGATCCATCGGTGTTATCCTTCATTTCACGGGAAACGAAGGATGCATTTGGAGGAGCCTTCGAATTGGGACAGCCTTCGTCGTGACGCAGTCGGCCTTCGAAGGATGCTGCCTCTGAATTGGGACGCAGCATTTGGATGTCTCCGTCATCTAACACACCTGATTGAGATCGTCAGCTCATTAGCAGAGACTTCCACCCCCAACTATATAGTAGGCAAAAAACAGTATGTGAGCTTCTCAATTAATAATGTTCATAAAACAGCAGGCGAAAAGTACCCGGATTACTTACTACTGCAGAGATTCTGAATTGCACATCCAATGGACACTTTACTATCCCATGAGTGAATGGTAGTGAAGCGACACAACTGATGGCGTGGCCCGTAGGTCACATGACAGTGACAACATGGCGGATGTACTACATCTGATTTTCATTCATACTACACAACACACTCATCGTATATAGTACATACTTTTTTATGGTCACAAAGCAAGTTTTAAAACAAATATAGTACCCATTTTACAGTATGTGAATTCGGACGCAGCACAAGGCAAGTGTGTGAGACGGAGACATTCAACATATGAATTTAAATTCAAATTTAAATAACCCTCTTTTATATATCCAAAATAAATTGTAATAAATGTAGCCTGTATATACATTCAAATTTAGAGAACTATATCCAGTAAGTTGAGAGAAAATGTACAATATATCAGAAAATAATCAGGCATAATTAGTCAAAATTATATAAGAAATTGTCTAATATGAATTAATGAAACACCCGTTGATCTGTTGTCTTGATTTATATTTGACTGCAATTCAGCAATACAGAAAAATGTATTTTAATATACAAAACAGATCCAGAAAGATTAAAGTAAATTAAAGGTTAGAGTAAAATTGATCATTTGAACACTTATTTATTTATTGACATTGTCAGTTTGCCAGGAGGCTGTATGGGAGGCTTTCCGGATCTTTTTGGACAGAATTCCCAGCAACTCGGAGTACCAGACATGGGTCCACACATGCCAGCACAACTCCCTGTGCATCTCAGATCTTGCCATGAATTTCAGCCATTCGCAGGAACACGTAGACATGGTCTACAGGGTAAACTAATCAAAAATGCACACAATACTATATAGTCAAAAGATGTCATAAAACTGGTGTGTGTGTGTGTGTGTGCAGCAAAAACTCCAGTGTTAAATAAACTCTCCTGGGAGTTTATTTGGCTCCTCACTCAAGAGTGTTAAAGCGTTAAAATATGAGTGTTAAATGAACACTGAAGAGTGTTAAAGTTATAAAGTTTAAAGTAAAGAGATAATTAAGTGATTTTTGAATGATGATTGAGCATTATTGAAGACACCTGATGTTAACAAGCAGAATCACCAAAGGAGAAAATCTAAATTTGACCACGTTATGGGCATCAGTGTTTGTTTTAGTTGGGCTTTTGTCCCTTAAATTTTGAATTTTAGATTTTGTTTGGCTGTAACTGAATTATAACAGCCACATGAACAAATAGAAATGGTGATCTGATGGTGTTGGTTGTGTTTTTGACATAACTCAAAAACACATTTGGAGCCTAATCTCTGATCTAGGTTTTCTTTATTGATTATAGCAGCACTGTCATTGTACAGCATAATAGCATTAGCATTGCAATCAAACAGACTTCTTAAAAATTGTTCTAAGACAAAAACTTTGATTTAATTTATTTATTTAGACACACTGACATCAAGAATCAGCCTGTGAATCTCAACAGTGGTGACAATAATAAAGCATGTTGCAGTGCATTCTGGGTGCCACCAATCAAAACTCATTCATGGCTCCCATCATGCATTACGGTATGATTAAATTAGGACCTGAATTGTCTTAGTCATTTAGTTTATTCCTAATATATTTTCTTTTATTTCTGCTGGTTTCATGTGACTTTTTAGTCGCTTGTTTTCGAATATTCAGAGTTGATCTGTTTATCTGAATATGCGGTTTGTCACCATTGTTGAGATTCATACGCTGATTCTTGATGTATGTGTGTGCCTACATGAAAGTTTTTATAGAATCTGTTTTTTTTCAGATCAACTTCTAAGAAATCCTTTGGATTATTTTAAAAAGCTTGATCTTATGCTGTAGAATCACAGGGATGCTGTAATCAACAATATAATTCTAACTCTATATGAGTACGGTGATTCAGGTCAAATGATAATTATGTCAAAACACAACCAACACCACCAGATCACATTTTCTCTTTGATCATCTAACTGTTATAAGTTACAAGAGCAAAACTCAATCTAATGTTAATAATTTAAGGGTCTTGGCTCAACTAAAGCAAACACCGATCACAATAATGGTGACTTGCCAATTGTGATTTTCTCCTTTGGTGATTCTGTTTGTTAACATCAGGTGTCTTTAATAATGGCCAATCATCACTCAATTATTTAAAATATAAAATACACTCATATTTTAAAACTTTAACAGTGTGTGGAGCCAACTCTTGAGTGTGGAGCCAAATAAACTCCCAGGAGAGTTTTAGCTGTGTACACTTTTAAAAGTTTTAACCTGAAATGATTACGTTAAAGAGATATGTCTAGCCATAAAAGTTAGGTAGATTAATCTATATTCAACTTTTTTTTTTTTTACTTGAATCCAGTAAATTTAAAAGATGCAATTTTTTGGTTACCATTTTTCGAGTGTTTTTAGTCAATGGCCAAAAATGTAATAATCAAAATTCTCTTGTAATGATTTTCATTTTCTTTACAGAGGTTGAATAAGAATAGTGAAACATTAGAACGGTGAGACGGCATATAATTTCATATCCTGAAAACAGCTCCAAATCACCTATAACAAAAATTATGAACTGTGATTATTTTAATATCATGATACATTTTCAATTTAATTTTATAGAAATATAAGTGAAGAGCCAGCAACCATTGAAGCACAAGAAATGGAAGGTATAGTTGAATTGTTTTTGGTCTCTCTTCTGTGAGAAGTTTTCATTATTTTGGTAAATTTAACTAAGCTCAATTTCTGTTGTTCAGGTTCAGAGGAAGTCCTGACTGAAGCAGCAGTACATGAATTTGTTCCCACAGCTGAATCTACTACTATCCGCACTACAAGAGACACCTCTACTGCCTCACAGGTCTGGAGCACATTTGTCTAACATACTTCATATACTTAATTTTCATATTAAACAACTGGAAGCAGTGGTTGCTAGAAATTCCCTTTAAAAATATAGTGACAGTATTTCAATCATTACAAAATGTTATTTATAAGCAGCCTTTGCTCTGCTGTCCATGACCGTGGGCCATGACCACCAGGCCGATAAGCCTTAGCTTAAGCTTAACTTCTAAGACAGATAAGGTAGTACGGATTTGCAACATAAATTGTGCAGGATTCACCCTGTAGCTATATTAGGTATACACTGCTTTCTCAACTGTCTGTGGGAAATAAGGGGTGCTGGTGGTGGAGGATGGGTCAATTTACAGAGCTTAACTTCAACACCAATTAAACACACCTGATCCAGCTAGGGTTTTCAGGATTGCCGAGTTGTGTTCCGCTTCGCTTTTAGACCTCGGCTGCATTTAAGTCCATTTTTTATGCTCTACCCTCGCTAACTTTCCTCCGACTTGATGTTCACTCGGATGTACATCATTGTTTACGTTGCACGAGTGCCCACTACTGGCAGAACCCTGCGCCCTTGGGTAAATTAAGTGAGAGCACTGCGAGTTGCTGTTGTGAGGTCACAATCCTGTTGCATTGCGGTCTATGGATCTGAGTACATATAGAGTGGACTTATTCCCTTGGATCAAAATCAAGGGGTTGAGAGTCGGTCCAAGTAAACTTTAAAAACGAAAATATGGCGGTGAGTAAATGTCTAAAAGTGGAGTTAAACACAGCCATACACTCACAATCTTCCCTAAGTACTTTCCCTTGGGAAAACCAATCCTCCATTTTGAAGTGCGTTCCACTTCAAGTGGATAAGGAAAGTTTATATGGATAGACCCTCAACCCCTCAATTTTGAGTCTATTCAGGCAGCTCCATATACACAATGCAACATAACTGTGATGTCACAGACGATTGCACTTAACTCCACCCCACACAACTCTAGTGTGTTATTTGAATTAATTTGAGATGTAGATGCCTTTCCACCACATTGATAATTCACCCCAAAAATACCCAATTGCGATGATAAAGGTGGTCAGTGTCTCACAACTGGCATATAAAGAGATCTGCCAGAAACCAAAACATGTATCCAGAGTAGAGAACAAGATTGCCTTTGATAACTTTGAAGCAATATTTTCGAGTGTGGAGATCATGAATCTTTGACATTTGACTGCTTTACTAAGAAATTACGGGTCTACAATTGAGCTTCTTTAACTTTAGGTAATGCAATTTACAATGTGTGCTATTCCTGTATGACAAAGTATCTTATTTCAGCACTTGCATGAATACTTCAATTAAAATATTTGTTATTTAACCTGTAAAGTTGCCTAAACCTTTTGGGGAATTATGCAGGTTATACGTTGTTGCAGTACTTGTTTAATAGTTCTTGTGCTATATTTTCAGGAGTTGGATCTTCACAATGTGGTTCCAGAGCAGCCAGTACATCATGTCATAGAGTTCAGCGTTACACTGTTGGACCACGGGTATCAAGAGATACTGAGAGTTGCCGATTCACCTCAGTACCATGACCTGTCACAGCATCTTCAAGATCAGGTTTGTGAAAATGACCAAACAGTGATCCACCATTCAGTGTTTTGAGGAATCAAAGCTTCAACGGATTAAGAGGCTTCACCAGGGTTAGACTGAGGGATCTAGGGACAGAAGGGTTTGTAGGAAATGTAACGTTTTGTGAATCTGTTGAAGGACCTTCTATTCAGTCTTGAAAATGATGGATTGTGCTATCTGGTGGTATTGGTTTATACATTTGCCTAAATGTATATAATGGGCAACCTATTGAGTCTTGTTTCCACCATGGAATAAAAAAAAAATACAAAAGATAATCGTGACTTTTTATCTCACAATTCTGACTTTTTTCCTCAGCATTGTGAGATATAAACTCGCAATAGGATACTATAATAAAGTCCTATAGTAAATTCTGAAAAAAAGTCAGCTCACAATTCTGACATTATCTTGCAATTCTGAGGAAAAAAGTCAGAATTGTGAGATGTAAACTCAAAATTGCGAGTTATAAAGTCAGAACTGCGAGAAGTCGCTACTACCTTTTTTTAATGTTTTATTCAGTTGTGTAAACAGGCTTCCATAACAACATTTTAAACTGCACACTTGTCTGTTTGTTGCAGATGCAACACGTTTTCAAAGACCTACCTGGATTTATGGATGTCCACGTGTTAAGAATTAGGTAGGTGTACTAAAAAATCATAGTCATAGTCACTTTCCAGCCCGTTCTCATCCCAAGACGTCATCTAACTGACGCTTTTGACCATGCGTCAACATGCCGACGCTAACCCTATCCTGAGGATGAGCGTCTCATATTGACGCTTAAAGTGTACCATGTGCGTCGGCATGTTGACGCATGGTCAAAAGTGTCAGTTAGATGACGCCTTGGGATGAGAATGTGTTGCACTTTCCTTATTACAACAGCAGTGACCAACTGATTGCCTGAGGTCTGTTGCTAATGTGAAAATAATGATAACATTCACAATGACATTTGTGTTTGTAGCTCCATCATTAGCTATTCATATTTCACCAGGGAAGTGTTTGTGTATATCTGATTTCTCTGTTGCATTTTACTTTACATCTTTCTTACATGCAAGCGAGGCGGAAGAGCCTGAAGGGTAAAAGTTACATATGTATATAATGTGCTGTGTAGAATCAACTTTAGTATTATCCAGTTATTGCTTGGATAAAAGCATCTGCTACATAAATAAATGTAAATGCATATTGCCTCCATTTCTCCAGGGCTGGAGGAATATCAGCAGTCTACTCGGCTGTTTTTGAGACTATTGTACCAACCATTGCTGATGAAAGTCTTGGCACAGTTGTTTCATCTACAGGACCAAGTCTGAAGGACATGATAGTTAAAGCACTGAGCAAAAAGACCTCTCTTCTTGATCTTAATTCACTGATATTTGAGACAGGTACAAGCACAAATAAAAATGCATTTCCATGTACAATGCATTTTTTTTTTTAAAGTTTTGTTTAATTATATTTTACAAGTTCATTACAGTTTTTACAAGTTGTCTACAAATTTTCTCTCATCAGGCAAAGACCAACCCTCAACCAGAACGCCTGTCACTGAGGTTTCTGAAGACATAGTAACTGAGGTGACTAATGTCATATAATTAAACGAAGCACAAGAGACCATTTTATATCGTCGACATGGATAAAGGGGCACAACTTACAAAAAATGCCTGAAACTAAGGGTGCTCCGTTCAGGATTTTTGGGGCCGATCACCGATCAATGGCAGCAGTATTGGCCGATACGATTACTGAAATAAATAATACTATTATTAACAACAATGCATTTATAGAACAATTTAAGATATGAGAAAGTATCATGAATTGACAACTCTTTATTACTTGGTAAGCAACATATTCCATTCCCTCTCTTAGAAGTGATTGGGAACAACTTAGAGCTTAACAAATATAGCATTCCTATGAAAAAAAAACAGAACAGTCTTTATCAACAGAAAGTAATAAAATGTAAAACAACACTGCATAATCTACACTGTATAAGTTAAATATACAGTTGTAATTGAAATTATTCAACTCCCATTGCAAATCAGGTTTATTGACAATTTCATTTTTGTTGTTTGTAAAATCAAACAACAGTAATTGAAATAGCTCAACACAACAAATGTTTCAAGTAATTCAATTGTCAACTTAAAATGCAACTTTATGATTTCTGCAGTCTTAAATTTATTCAACCTCTTCATGGCAAGCATCTTCAGTACTTAGTTGAACACCCTTTTGCTGTTATGATCTGCTGCAAACGGGCTATAACCAGACACCAGCTTCTGGCAGAGTTTCTGAGGAATCTTAGCCCATTCCTCATCCTCATGAGCAATGGCCTCCAGTTCAGTAAAATCCTTGGGTTTGTGTGCTGCGACCGCCTTCTTAACTGTGATTTGGATTTTTGGGAAGTTTGGGCTTTTAGGGAGGAACAAAAGCACATCGCTGTGAAGGAAAGTAATTTACTAAAATCGCAGAGCCCTAGTTTCTTGCTGTCTCTGCTGTCCGCAAAAAGACGTTGCAAATGTCCTTTTCATACACCTGGTAGAACTGCCAGACTGGTGAATGTAGTGAAGCAATTTTAGCTGCGCATAAAAAATTGTCTTGCAAGTTTTCTGATCTGCCTTTCCCACCGATCAAACTATATAAAGCTATTATCGGCCAATAGCTATCGGCGCCCAATCAATCGCAACACCCTTACCAGAAACTACTTCCGTATTGACAATATAGAACAACCTCAAGTGCTTTATTGTTTTAAAAAAACAGCTTCCAAATAAGCGATAGATGCCATTTAGTGTCAAATGTGTAAATAAAGTGTAAAGTGTAAATAAGTGTAAACAGCAACAATAAAGTAGTTTCTTTGCACTAAGTGCAGGTAACGCTAAATGTTATTTACTCTAATTGTAAACTAGATGCTATTTTTGCAGCCTTGTTGGGACATTAATATCCCTAAAGCCCTCCCCTACACCTACAAAATAAACACATTACCCGTTGAGCACTTTATTTCCACTTTTTGAATATTTTCTTAATTTGTATTTAAATGAATGCCTCTAACGCCACCCGCCTAAGTCTCACACCACTGATCCTATTATTAGCAGGATTTCTTTTGTAGTTTTGTCTGGCTCAATTAGACAATGGTGGGCGGAGTTAGTGGAAATAGCCTCTACGACCAACAAGGCGGGCTATTTGCACTTGGTTTAAATAGACACTCCAAAAATATAAAACCAGTTTTTTATTAAAACCTTAAAAGTGTCATCAGCTAGAAGATATATTTCTTCACATGTAAACTAATAATAATAGTAATATAAAGAGCAGTATGTGTGAAGGCATTAGCGTATATATGTTTTAGCATGACTGAAGTGCTGTATCAGCAAACAGGACCAGAACTGCCTGTTTTAAGTCTTTTGTGCTTCATGGTTTTTTTTACTATTTTACAGAGTATAACACTAGCATAACATCTTTAAATGCAACAACATAATTGTACATCTGTTAATTTGCAGTCCTCTGATCGAGATTCATATGGTGACCTCAGTTTTCCAACAAAAGAAACGAAGGTTGAAGTTCCTCTTCCCTCAGATGGCGATGAGAATGTTTTGGAGACCATTTTACACACAACTGTAGACACAGACAGCACCACAACAACAAAATCAACAGTTGAACCTGAGAATGAGGCAGTCATTATTCACCAGCTTGAAACTATTAAAGGGGAAACTGGTGAGCTCATAAAAGAAACTTTTCAAGTTCCACCAGTAGAGGAAGCTCCTGCTGACGATGACAGCAAACCAGTTGTTATTGTTGATAAAGACAACAATCTGGCTCCAACATCTTCAGCTGCTATCTCAGCATTCCCCTCGAGTGGAGAACAGCCTATAACTACAGAGAAACCTACACCCGAGAGTGACTTTAGTCAAAACACAATACCAGAAGATGATATCATGTTTAACCCAGTAACCACCACGCACAATTTGTTCACCACCGCTACAACCGTAAGTCTTGGGTCTGAACAACCAAAGTTGGCTGTCACAACCGACTTCACCATCACCCTACAACCTTCAACTGAACCAATTGATCCAATAACTGAAGTTACAGATTCTAATGAAATTCCAGAGGTGCCTCACACAGTAATTGTACTAAAGGAGGAAGATACCAAAATGGTGATGGCTGAACCAGTGGAAGAAACTAAGTCTGAGGTTGATTTACCCAAGGTAAAGGTTGTGACAACAGAAACTGTGGAAGTGACTGGATCTGATGGAGTAATTGAAGATACTGTTGTTTTAGAAGATCAGGTATTCCGACCTGAAGTGACTATGGTAACAGAATCTCATTCAGAGTATAGCACATTAGAACCTGTGATAACGACCGTAGCACCAGAACCAGATGAAGATTGGATTGGAAAATCAACTAAACAGGATGAAGTAGCAGAACGAGAGGGAAAAGTTTTAGAGGAAGAAACAGAGGTCCTTATAGAATCAAAAGAAGACGTTGAAGAACATAAAACTGACGAGGAGATTAAAGTGAGAGAAGAGGAGGATGTTCAGGTAACTAGAAACCCAGGAACTGAGGCAGTACAACCCAAGGAGGAACCTCGTTTAACAGAACTTGAAGAAGAGGGTGAGGTGGTGGAACCTGAGAGAGAAGCTGATGAATCAAAGTCTTCTGATGTGGTAGAATATGAGGAAGGCATCAAAACTGAAGAGCCTGATGTGGATGTGGCAAGTGAAGTCCCCAAACCTACTGAAGGTTCAACAGAACCTCCTGCACAGATGATTAAGATTATACCAAAAGAGATTTCTGTGACAGAAATTTACTTTGAGAACATTGACTATTACCAACCTGTAAGTGATAATTTGCCCTTTGTGCCAGTTGACAGTGTTCAACCAGAAATGGACGTTGGTAAACCTGAATATGTGGAAGACTTTGGGCTTGAGGATCCAAACTCCAAAACTGAGGTTACTGAGGGAGTTCTTGAGATACCAGATATGGTTATCGAGGACACCACCACAAAACCAGAAGTGGCTGATGTTCACCCTACTGTATCAACTGCCTCAGAATCTCTATCTGAAATGGTCACACAATCAGCTTCGAAGAAAGATGAGGACTTACCATCTGTTGTTGGCGATACTGAGGAGCCACATCTCACGGATATAGGTGAGATATGCTGTGTGTTACTCAATAAAAATGTTTGGCAAACTGATTTTTAGAATTACCTTTGCCATACATATTCCCATGTGAACCTTTTCAAAGAGCCAAAGTTTTGGGTATCATCTGAAACACTGGAGACATCCATACAAGTTTCCAATAGCAGATCTGATTACAGAACTTTACAGGGTCTTTAATTTAAATATAAGTTAAGACAGTATAAACGACTAAAGAAGGAAAAGATACCTGAGTGCAGAAGTGACAGGAACTGTTTTAGGTGGAAGTCTTTTGCTACATCTATCGGGGTTAGGAGAATTAAGATTGCTGGACAGTGACATTGATCCACATAAATAACTATTTTACATTTTACATGTAATTTCGAACCTGTCATTTTTGATTTCCCAGAGGAAGACACTAAGACAGAGGTTGTCCTTATAGAACAAGAGGAAGAAAATGCATCACTGCCCATTGATATACTTGCAACGGATACACCTTGGACAACTGCACCTGCAGGCCATGATCTTTTTGAAGTAGTCCTAACAGATGTATCAATCGTTACTCCGACATCTTTGGAACAGGATTATGATTCACCAACTGAAAATGGACAATCAACTGTTGTCCAGGACGTTGTATTTAAAGAGTCCGAAAATGACAAAGTGCTGAATGTGGAAACTGAGGACCCATTTACTGATTTAAAAGACCTAGCCACGGAGTTAGACCAAATAGATGTAGTAAGTACTGAGACCATTGACCTCTTGAGTTATGACAATGCATATTCTTTTCCAAATGAAGGATATCCCTTGGAGACAACAAAAGTGCCATCACTAACGTACTTCACAACTCCCTCAATGACCACAGCGAGCAAAGGCAAGGAACTAATTGTGTTTTTCAGTTTGCGTGTCACAAACATGATGTTCTCTGAAGATCTTTTCAATAAGAGCTCAACAGAATACCGATCTTTGGAAAACAGATTTATTGAACTGGTAGGTGCAGCTATTTCAGATGTTGATTTCTGTTGATTGTCGCGAGCAGTGAGATTTTACAGTGAGAGAACATACAACTCTTTATTTTCTTGATTCATTTAAGCAACATCACTATAACATTTTTTTTTATTCATCTGTTCATGATGACTACAGGACACCACTTGCTGAACTACCATGCAACACAGATGGATCTTGTCACAATAATGTAGCACATTGCAGCTTTATTGTAATGTTTATCGTTGCATACTCTCTATATAAATTAAGAACATGAGGCGGTATACAGTTTATACTATGCAGCATGGTATTTTCCTTTTCAAGGTTATCACTTAGGTTAATAAAAGGTCCTTCTGCTAACTCCTGTAATTGTCCAGTGATTTTTGTATGGTGAACATACATAAATTATGCTTTTGTCTTCTCTGTTGCACAGCTACTTCCATATCTACAGTCTAACCTAACAGGCTTTAAGCAGTTAGAGATCCTTAACTTCAGAAATGGAAGTGTGGTGGTCAACAGCAAGGTGAAATTTGCCAAGTCTGTGCCGTACAACATTACTCAGGCTGTCCAGCATGTCTTGGAGGAGTTTTGTGATGCTGCAGCCCAGGGTTTGGACATAGAGATTGACAGCCATTCCCTAGACATAGAACCAGGTAAGAGTCTTACCTTTGTAAGCATCCATTACTATTGATTTCAAACTGGATCAGTCAGTCTGGAAATCAGAAACATGTACAGAATTTCTCACAGAAGGTAAATAATTGATACAACTGAGATGAGTCTAATTTGTTCTTTCATTTTAGCTGATCAAGGTGACCCTTGCAAGTTTCTTGCCTGCAACGAGTTTTCGAAGTGCGTGGTGAACTTCTGGACAAAGGAAGCACAATGTTTATGTGACCCAGGCTACGTAACGCTGGAAGGACTGCCATGTCAGAGCCTCTGTGTGGTTCAGCCTGATTTCTGTCTCAATGGAGGAGAGTGTGAGATTGTACCAGGGCATGGTGCCGCTTGCAGGTACCTCAGCGAACAATCATATATAGCTATAAACAGTTAAATTCTACAATCTAAATTCAACTCAACTTGCTTCGGAATTTAATAAAATGCTTGTTTTTACCTTAATTAGGTAAATCAAGTTTCTGACTCTATGCTGGCTAACTTGTTTAATACATTTATAGTGAAAACATTTTTCCAGAACTCCAGTAGTTTTGCTTATGCTTTGTGGTAATTTCTTTAAATGTTTTAAATATGCAAGCAGAGGGATGCTGCTGTATAGCTGTGAAGGATCTCTTTAAAGGGTTAGTTCACCCAAAAATGAAATTTCTGTCATGAATTACTTCTACGCCAGAATGCCGACTTTACGTATTTCTGGGACTTGAAAGTTGCAATGACGTTGCTGCCTATGGCTGATTCAGAAACCTTTCGGATTTCATAAAAAATATCTAAATTTGTGTTCAGAAGATGAGCGAAGGTCTTACGGGTTTGAGTAATTAATTACAGACTTTTGTTTTGGGTGAACTAACCCTTTAATAATAAAACCTCCATTGTACATGTTCTAACTGTCTCTCTTGAACCTTTTAGATGTCCTGTAGGTAAATTCTGGCAATTTATCGGGGAGAGATGTGCAGAGCTGGTCTCCGTGTCAGTAGACCCCTTTCTTTCCCTAGTGTGCCTCGTGGGGGTGCTCGCCTTTCTTTATGCCATCATTTCTCTCTTGTTATCTATGTGCAGGATATGTGTACGGACCAGAAAGACACTAACTCTAGTGTAAGCAGGTCTTTTTTCGTCAGATTTTCAGATTTCTTTGCAGTTAAATCATTTGTTGTGTTAACAAAGATACCAAAGACAAGATATACAATTTACTTTATCTTTGAAATTTTGACTAGACAAATAGATATCAACATACCAAATGCAAATTCTTTATTTCTTATGTTAGGAATGTTCCAGGTCCAGTACCAAGTTCTTCAGTTTGTAAGAACAAACAAAAAATTAGTTTGAGTGTTCAGTTCCATGCTAACGCAACTTTCATCTGTTTTTACAAACTAAGAGAAGAAATTCCTTTAAATGGCACATTGGTGCGAAAAAAGCATATGAATTAATTTGACATGTGTCTTATATAATATCTTTCTTAAGCAAACTATTCAATTAATTTGAAATACGAGTTATTTACAAAATTGGTTTGCATAAAATTTATATAATCTTTTCTTGCTTCCCAGTCTATTCTTCATGTGATTCTGTTCTAAACACATTTATGAACACACTTTTAAACTCTCATTAGATATACATTACATATACATCTCATTCCTTAGTTTCATTCTGTGCCTTTTATCTTTGGGATAGTATCTTTTCATTAACTGAACAATCAGATGTCTCTGTTCCAGCCCAACTGGATTAACAACTGGAGCCTCCACAAGTAAAACTTATTCAAGAAAAATTCAAAAAAATCTAAAGTCCAGCATACATTGATTGCAGTATCTCATTTACTGAAAGTCAATATACACTAACAGCCACTTTATTAGATGCTCCTCTTCAACTTCTCGTTAAGGCAAATATCTAATCAGCCAATCACATGGCAGTAACTCAATAAATTTAGGCATGCAGACATGGTCAAGATGATCTGCTGAAGTTCAAAATGAGCTTTAGAATGAATGAATGAATCAATGTATGAATGAGGCATTTATATAGCGTTTTAATGTGTACTACTGTACACCCAAAGCGCTTTACAATTATGTCGGAAATTCTCTCCACAAGGGTCTCTCCTCAAACACCACCGGTGTGAGCATCCACTTGGATGATGCGACGGCAGCCACAGAACAACGGCGCCAGTGCGTTCACCACACACCAGCTATAGGTGGAGAGGAGAGAGAGTGATCGAGCCAATTCAAAGAATGGAGATTATTCGGAGGTCATGATTGATAAAGGCCAGTATGGGTGTAACCGGGGTTACACCCATACTCTTTACGAGAAGTGCCATGGGATTTTTAATGACCACAGAGAGTCAGGACCTCGGTTTAACATCTCATCCGAAGGAGGCTTGTTACAGTATAGTGTCCCCGTCACTATACTGGGGCGTTAGGACCCACACAGACCTACTGGCCTCACTAACACCTCTTCCAGCAGCAACCTAGTTTTCCCAGGAGGTCTCCAGTCCAGGTACTGACCAGGCTCAACCCTGCTAGTTTCAATGCTCAACCAGTCTTGGGCTACAGGGTGATATGGCTATGGCTGGGCAATAAAGGTGATTTAAGTGACCAAGCATGTGAATGTGGCATTGTTGTTGGTGCCAGACAGGCTGGTCTGAGTATTTCAGAAACTGCTGATCAACTGGGATTTTCTCACACAACCATCTCTAGGGTTTACAGAGAATGGTCCGGCAAAGAGAAAATATCCAGTGAGCGGCAGTTCTGTGGGCAAAGATGCCTTGTTGATGCCAGAGGTCAGAGGAGAATGGCCAGACTGGTTCCAGCTGATATAAAGGCAACAGTAACACAAATAAGCACTCGTTACAACCGAGGTGCAGAAGAGCATCTCTGAACACACAAACCTTTTCTAGCAGATGAGCTGCAGCAGCAGAAGACACACCGGTGACACTCCTGTCAGCAAAGAACAGGAAACTGAAGCTACAATTCACACGGGATCACCAAAATTGGACAAAAGATTGGGAAAACTTTACCTGGTCTGATGAGTCTGGATTTCTGCGGCGACATTAAGATGGTCAGGTCAGAATTTGGTGTAAACAACATGTAAGCATGGATCCATCCTGCCTTGTGTCAATGGTTCAGGCTGATGGTGGTGTAATGGTGTGTGCCAAGATTATTTTCTTGGCACCAACTAAGCATCATTTAAATTCCACAGCCTACCTCAGTATTGTTGCTGATCATGTCCATCCCTTTATGACCACAGTGTTCATCTTTTGATGGCTACTTCCAGCAGGATAACGCACCATGTCACAAAGCTCAAATCATCTCAAACCAGTGTCTTGATCATGACAATGAGTTCAATAAACTCAAATGGCCAGATCTCAATCCAATAGAGCAGCTTTGGGATGTGGAGGAACAGGAGATTCACATCATAGATGTGCAGGCGACAAATCTGCTATCGTCGCACAGGATCTCTGAGGAATGTTTCCAGCACCTTGTTGAATCTGTGAATTAAGAATTAAGGCATTCTGAAGACAAAAGGGGGTCCGACCTAGTACTAGCAAGATGTACCTAATAAAGTGGCCTGTGAGTGTTGCATCTTCCAACAGTGGGCTGAAGCGCAGGCATCTTTTCTGATTAGGACACATGTGGTTTTCACATCCTCATGTTAACCAAAACTAAAGAGTATGATCATCGAATTAGTGACTGCAAGGCAGAACCGTATTGAAATTTCCCATTACGGTTTCTTCTCCAAAATTATATAACCACCAAATTCCATTTTAAACGTTTACACACATTTACAGCTTTTTATTCACTGATAAATAACTTTATCCTTAGTTTGAAAATCTCTAGGTGTTTGCTAGATCATCCATGAGCACACTGAAATTCAACACACCCTCATGACAATTGGTCCTTTTACTAAATTACGCATTGGCGAAATAAAACATACTGTGATGAATTTGTACAATGTCATTAATACACTTGTATTAGACTTAATGTTAGAGGTAGAGCTTCATGCTTACATTTTAATTTTGTACATTTTTGTACAGAATTGCCGATTCGTAAAACAGTTCCTTTTTTGCTTCCTTGCAAGCACTTTCAGGACAAATTCAAATTAAACCTTTTTTTGTTGTAGTTATAATTTAATAGAAAATATTTGCGAACACTTTTCCCATAAAACAGGACTTTACCCAAGGAATCCAAATGAAATGATTTCCAGAATGTTCTAAAACAACAGCCTGTGTTGTACATAAGAAACTTTTACTAATGTGTCTTTTTTACAGAAATTGTGATGCCTTACACCTGTGAATTTGTCCTTGGGATTTGACATTTTCTTTTCCCCTTCAGCTGATCTTGATGTCTTTCTTTGCCTATTGAAACTTGAGCTTCATATTGTTGCGTGTGTTGTCCTGTTTTACAGAGGCCGAGACCAGACCACCATTCCAGGCCTGACGAGTTAATCACAGATGATCTCCACATTATGATACTGTCACTGAGGTAAGATCAGATCTCATATCACCTTGTTTTGTGGTTGTTCAAATCAAATCCCAAAATATTAGACCAGATCTAGCTTAAATGTCATGTAGCAGGTTAATTTATCAAGACTAAAATGTTGTGGGGTTACTAGCTGGACTGTACTTCAGCACAATTGAATCCAATTTTACAATATGGCCCTGCTTACACCTGTGGCCTGTTGCACAAAGCCGGTTTCAATTGCTTCCAAGGTAAGTTCAAGGTTAGTTTGAGGAAACTCAAGGAGGTGGATTGGTTTTTAGCAGGTTTCATTGCTATGGGAACTTGCGCTACATGGATTTATTCTGGATTAGACCAATCAGTTGTGAGTTAAGATGCAATAAAGCAATTACATGATTTATTATATTTATATAATTATGCATAATTCATACAATATATTCATTTAATTATTATATTAATTGACAATATTAAACGTTGCATTTAAATTAAAATAAATATAATACACGTATTATATATAAAGCTTTTAAACAGATTAAGCTTATGTGTATTCTTTTGAGCTCTTTGTGAAACTATATCAATTATTAGGCCTATTTCTTTGACTCACATCATGCATTCGGCTTCAAACCAGAGTTGACAGAGAACAGTTATACCGGCGAGCGTTGTGAGCCAGTTGAACCTGATCTAAACCAGGTTGGATTTATCTGGTTTTGTCAACTCTAAACCTACTCTGAAACTCAGCTAGCTTTGTGCAACAGGCCACTGTATTTAGAGACGTCCACTTGTGATCCGATCGACCAAACGCATCTTAATACCAGGTGTAAACAGGGCCTAAAACTAAGTCATTTTAATATTTTTAACGGATATTAGATTACTTAACTTTTATAAGCAAAGCTTTATATATATAGTGTGGGTTTCATAATGCATATAATGATGAAAGTACATCATACTGTACATAATTTATACAGATAAACATCTTTTTATCTATTGCACAACATCAATGCAAAATGAGTTGTTTCTCTTTTAACAGAAGTGGGACGAGTCATGCTGTCTTCCAATGGTGCTTGTCCAGCCATTAAAAGATGTTTAAAAGACTTCCCATGATCCCACAACTCATGAAGATTGTAGAATGAGTGGCCAAACATCCTGAACAGATGGATAGCCAAGTTGAGTTGCTATTGGTTAATATGTTACATGTCGTTCTCATGAGAACGTTAAGAAACGCGACTGGATTTCAGGTAGAATGTTTTCACAAGGCAGAAATGATTAAGGGTTTCCTCACAATGAGGAAATTGTTCTTGTCTGATCATAAAGAATACACTGTTAAAATGTTCTCATAGTTTGGAACATATTTGTGATTTTGATGTGTAATAATTATAAATGGTCTTACATGCATAGCGAATACCTTTTTTTTTTTTTGTCTTTTAGAATGGTTGTCTTGAGAAAAAGAGAACTTTGTTGCAAACATTCTTTGATTGAATGTTAAATAGCACCAAACATAAAATAAAGTGTGCTGCAAAAAAATGACACATTTTGTAAAATATATCCAAAGAAATTAGATGGATATAGATTTAAGAACTAGATTCATCTATCTATCTATCTATCTATCTATCTATCTATCTATCTATCTATCTATCTATCTATCTATCTATCTATCTATCTATCTATCTATCTGTCTGTCTGTCTGTCTGTCTGTCTGTCTGTCTGTCTGTCTGTCTGTCTAATATCTATCTATCTGTCTGTCTGTCTAATATCTATCTATCTAATATCTATCTATCTATCTATCTATCTATCTATCTATCTATCTATCTATCTATCTATCTATCTATCTATCTATCTATCTATCTGTCTAATATCTATCTATCTATCTATCTATCTATCTATCTATCTATCTATCTAATATCTATCTATCTATCTATCTATCTATCTATCTAATATCTATCTATCTGTCTGTCTGTCTAATATCTATCTATCTAATATCTATCTATCTAATATCTATCTATCTATCTATCTATCTATCTATCTATCTATCTATCTATCTATCTATCTATCTATCTATCTATCTATCTGTCTGTCTGTCTGTCTGTCTAATATCTATCTATCTATCTATCTATCTATCTATCTATCTATCTATCTATCTATCTATCTATCTATCTATCTAATATCTATCTAATATCTATCTATCTATCTATCTATCTATCTATCTATCTATCTATCTATCTATCTATCTATCTATCTATCTATCTATCTATCTATCTATCTATCTGTCTGTCTAATATCTATCTATCTATCTATCTATCTATCTATCTGTCTGTCTGTCTGTCTGTCTGTCTATCTAATATCTATCTATCTAATATCTATCTATCTATCCATCTATCTATCTGTCTGTCTGTCTATCTAATATCTATCTAATATCTATCTATCTATATCTGTCTGTCTGTCTATCTATCTAATATCTTTCTATCTAATATCTATCTATCTATATCTGTCTGTCTGTCTATCTATCTAATATCTTTCTATCTAATATCTATCTATCTAATATCTATCTGTCTGTCTGTCTAATATCTATCTATCTAATATCTATCTATCTATCTATCTAATATCTATATATCTATCTATCTATCTATCTAATATCTATCTATCTGTCTATCTAATATCTATCTAATATCTATCTATCTATCTATCTATCTATCTATCTATCTATCTATCTATCTGTCTATCTATCTATCTATCTATCTATCTATCTATCTATCTGTCTGTCTGTCTGTCTGTCTGTCTGTCTGTCTGTCTGTCTGTCTATCTATCTATCTATCTATCTGTCTATCTATCTATCTATCTGTCTATCTATCTATATATCTATCTATCTATCTATCTATCTATCTAATATCTATCTATCTATCCATCTATCTATCTATCTGTCTGTCTGTCTATCTAATATCTATCTATCTATCTAATATCTATCTATCTATATCTGTCTGTCTGTCTATCTATCTAATATCTTTCTATCTAATATCTATCTATCTATCTAATATCTATCTATCTATCTATCTATCTGTCTGTCTGTCTGTCTGTCTGTCTAATATCTATCTATCTATCTAATATCTATCTATCTATCTAATATCTATCTATCTATCTATCTATCTATCTATCTATCTATCTATCTATCTATCTATCTATCTATCTATCTAATATCTATCTATCTATCTAATATCTATCTATCTATCTAATATCTATCTATCTATCTAATATCTATCTATCTATCTATCTATCTATCTATCTATCTATCTATCTATCTATCTATCTATCTATCTATCTATCTATCTATCTATCTATCTATCTATCTATCTATCTATCTATCTATCTAAAATATATATAATATATATTCCCATTGTAATTGTAATGTCAAACGTTAAAGAAGAGGGAATCCCTGAAATGAGGTTCTCATAACTCTATTGTTTTTTTACATGACACAATTGTGCTGGTTTATATCTATATAAAATCTCACTGTATAAATTTGTTGGAAGAAAACAGACACCTTTATTTAGCTGGACAGATCATGCCTACACCAGTACCTTGTTTAGTTTGATACAAATCTTCATTTTGTTTATAGAAATAAATCTCATTTGCATATTGCTCTTATACATATTTGGTCAGATATCACAATTACAGACTGTGCTTTGTCTATCTTAGTGCATCATTTGCTAAATTATAGTGTTACAAAATTAGGGAAAATAACAATATCACAAGAATGACTAAATGATATTATTAAAATCATTATTCTTTTATTAAACATTTTCCATTCAAAAGTCATAATTTAGTCGTCATTACTTACCAGAGTTATTGTATTTACTGTTTTGTAGCTTTCGTAAATACTTTTTGCAAGCAGTTAAACTCACAGTGAAAAACAAAACTCAAAATAGAGTAAAGTGCTGAACAATATCAGTATTTACATCTGCAAGTCAGAGAGGAGCTTTCTTTCAATGCGAGACTGATTTAATGTTAGGAAAAGACACACTTGTTGAACTTCTCTACAGGAACACTCCCAGTGATGTATTTATGGATTACTGATCATATATCATACCAAAATATTACATTAAGTAAATTATAATAAGAGGCAGATTAGAGGCAATTACACTGTCAAGAACAGTGATTAAAGATCAATGAGATGATTCAACGTGCCAGAAACTCAAATAAAAACAACAAATGAAACGGCAACTAAAAAGAAGCTCTTAAAGAGACCAAAAAAAAAAAAAAAAACACGGAAAAAGAATATTAAAAGAATAAAAAAAAGTAGTAAGTGAAAGTCAGTGCTGGTTATGTAAGAGCTGGCAGCCTTCCCTCATGAAACTAAAGTGTGTGTGTGTTTATTTGAGCATGCTCTGCAGCATGGCAGTGGCGTATGTGGGTCGGGCCTGCCTGCTCTCGATGGCGCTTCTGAGGTACTGGACGCCTCCGCAGCGCTCCCAGATTTCCTCAAACTGGCGGGGCAGAATCTCAGCGCCGCGCTTCCGTGTCAAACCGGTCTCCTCCAGACTCAACTCACACATCTCCATATCGTCCTTACCTATCAACACACAAACAGACACTGCGCTTGGAACTGAACAAGGAATGAAGCGATGTAGAACTTTTGGTCGATACAGAGAAAATAGATCCTTTTTTTGGCTAATATTAAAGGCACAATATGTAGGTTTTTGTTCGCCACAAGAGGGCGCAGTTTCCAACAATAACACAGGCGTAGGTTGATGACGCAGTGATAAGCTGAATGATGGGACTTGCTGTCAAGCTGATGGATCTAATAATGTTTATGGATGAGTGCAAACATTCATGTTTTTTAACATTACAGTGGTATGAAGCAGGTCGCGATTGCTAAAGAGACCGATATCACACGCGAGTCCCGCGGATATAAAGGAATAAGGACATTTAATTCTCCCGAACTACCCGCGAGTGCTGGATTACTCACACAGGTCAGTTTATTAGACGGATTAAACTTGTGAGGTAACGCAGCGCTGCTTCACGTGGTCTAACGTTACACTATCACACTAAACGGCATTTAAATGTGTGTTGACAGTTATAATGTTATACTACGGGTTAGTTTGTTTGCTAGCTGTCGAGTCGTGACTCGTGAAGCTCTGTCGAGTCCAAGTTAGTCGCGGACGCTAGCTCTCGGCATCTCAAAAACGCCACGCTGATATTGATCCTCATTTTAGTTCTCCTTGTTTGTCCCAAAGTCTGCTTGCCATGGTCTGTGTTTGAAAGAAACAAGAACTGTGTGCCGCTAAACGTTACGCACTACGCAGTTGTCCACGTCTGTCGCCATGGTTACGTCATGGCTATGGCAGTACGAGCGGAAACCGAGGATAGCGCGGATATTGCGTCATTGACAGGCGACATTTTTTTCCGGGACGGCCACTTATTTAAAATGGGAATTTCTCTGAAATAAAAACCTTTGGAGACTTTTGGGATATTGTAAGTACACAACTGCAGGAAATATATCACACAGTGCAAGTGATTTTTGGATATTTTATTACAAAATTCTTACATATTGTACCTTTAAAGGTATTTAAATGAGTCAATACATGTATAATATAGTAAGCCTATTATAAGTGTTAATATTTTAGATCTGACGGGATGGACCTGATGGGAAATTGCGTACATGTGTCACTCGACTGTGTGTGTCTAGTCATATCCGTAAACAGAGTAAAGTTGCTCCGGTGTCTGGTGTGAGAGGTCAGAGGTTAGTTGTTACAACGAGCTAGAGAGGTTGACATGGAGAGTCTGCTGGGGGAAAATAGAGCGCCACAGAGTTCGTGATAAAACAAGAATCAACATTGGCTTGGCTTTTCGGAGATGGCGAGAACTGAGGGATTTGAAATGTTGTAAAAGTGACGCGGATATGCCGTTATTACTCAACAGGCGAGTAAGGTGTTTTATTGAACAGATGAACTGTCATTTGTAGCTCTCTGTAGTTCATTGTAAAGCATTATCTATTGTGAAGGGTCATATTCATCCACAGTCACACAGAGCTGAAGCACAACCAAAACTATGTTCTTGCGTAAAATGCAGTTCAATTCTCACTATGAACTAGTTGCTTATTAGCATGCATATTACTAGGATTAGAGTTCTAGGACTTCGTTACCAAGTCGGTACTGAAATTTAAAAATGTGCCATTGGCCAATCAGAGACATACTGTAAGTTGAGTGCGTCAACACAATGGCCAATCAGAGGTGTTTAAGAATCGGTTCAACAGCTTCAGTACTTGGTACCGAAGTCGGTACTTTTGACAACACTAACTAGGATATTGGCTGTTTATTAGTACTTATAAAGCACATATTAATGTCTTATCCCTTAATCCACCCAATACCTAAACTTAACAACTACTTTACTAACTCTTATTAAGCAGTAATTAGGAGTTTATTGAGGCAAAATCCGTAGTTAATAGTGAATATGTGTTCCCCATACTAAAGTGGTACTGCATTTTTAGCCATGATGTATGCAAGTAATAAACCCATAAAAATGTATTTAATAAAAT